ACGACACAAAGTAAACAGAATATTATGAATAGTGTTACAAAAGTTAAATCTCAACAGATAACAGAAACAAGAAATATCGGTGATTCCATTGAACAAAAGCATCAAGATAGTAATAATCAAATGAATGTGACTCTAAACCAGAAAGAAAGTATTCACTATCCAAACGTGGACTGTAGAAATAATACAGAAGCAAATGATATACACAAACAAATGGAAAAACAAGAAACAATTGTAAAAGTTAATGGTGATATTACAGTTGATCATTTTGATAACGTAAACAAAATTAATGAACACATGATAGACAGTAAGAAGACAAAGGAATCTACTAATCAGACTGAAGCAAATGTACCTAAAGAAGAAAATGATACGACTAAGTGTGTTTCACAAGGTAATGTATCTATCGAGAAAACTAAAAAAGCAGAAAACAATGAATCAAAGACCGATGATCTTGGAAAAGTAAATGAACAAGTGCAAACAAACAATTCAGATGTGCAAAAAAATAAAGTTGAGTCATAAGGATAATGCAGGGATTCTGATATTATCAAATAAAATTTGTTAATTAATGTCTATGAACAGCCAGATAGAATATAATAATGGAAAGATTATTTCTTAGAAGAAGAAAAAAAGAAAAAAAAAAAACAAAAAAAAAAAACAAAAAAGAAACAAAAAAACAAGCTGCAAATTATTTGTAGCAAATTTCATGAAATGAGCGTTGTGTGTAAATTAGAAAGATTTGATAATGAATTCTATTAAAAGTCTAAATAGAACTGATGCAATTTTATTTAAATAGATGATATAGTAAAATTATATTGCTTCTTATTCTAACACGTTCCATTTTTCTAATTTTGTAATCATTATGGAAAATAATTTATTCAACAAATATAATGAATATATTGCATGGGTCACTAGTGATTCAGGTGGCCTGAATGTGTTAAAAACAGGATGATCATTTGCTGTAGCTTTACTTTTATTAATAGCAAATACTGTTCATTATAAAAAATCTACCAAGTTGTTCATAGAAATGATTCAATTTAACATCACCACTCATAAGCCATACTTCATTTTATTGTCAATGCTGTACAATAGCATACATGTAGTACAATAGCATACACTTGTTTATATTATTGGAAGTGTATATTATTTTACAACATACATTTGGTTTTTGTTATATTATTAGCTTTGTACAAAAAACGATCAAAATCTTATTTCAGTATAATTCTATTAATTTTAGTATTTTCGATTATAAGAGATTTCATAAGATAAACTTCAATATGTACATAATCATTTCATTATGATTATGAGATTTTGATACATTTGCAAAATATATAATGTAGATTATATTTTCAATAATTGCACAATTTTGATTTTTATAGTTACTATTCAAATTGGAATAAATTTCCATTCATAGTAAAGATTGTTTAGTAGTCATGGAATGTTAAATTTATTGTTTACAATGCATTCTTAAAATAAAAGTTGAAGCTTGTACAAGAATTTTGATTAATATGTAACAATGTATGGCTTATATTTTGTTTTGAATATTAGCATGTAACTATATTGCTTTAGAAAAGATAATGTATAAAGATACATATATAAAATTAAATTATTTTACACAAGTTGGCATTATTAGATAAAAAGAAATGAATAACTTTGCTAATAAAATTACGCGAAAGCAGATGCACTTTTTGATGTTGGTGAATTTGTCAAACTTGCAAATATTTCGTATTTAATGGATTGTATTAAAATAATGTAAATTGTAAGTTTATATGTACATGCTTAGAGCTTTTATTTTCATTATTTCGTTCGTAGTATAAACACGTACGCTAAGAACACTTTAGTATATTACCTGCACAGCACATCAAATTACGATAAATAGTATATTGTTGTATTTTGTAATATTCTAAAAATATTATTAACACTATTTTAATTTTTATATGTACAAAAATATAAATTTTTTAAATATTAAACCAAATATATAATATTTGGCATTTTATGTTGTAGATATAATTCTTATATTTGTCATGTCTATTTATTCAGACATGTAGACATATATAAAAAAAATGAATATCTTTATTTTCTGTAAAAATATAGTTCAATTTAAAGTAATAAATTAAATCACTTATATAACGTGTTTATTAAAAGTTCTGTGCTGTATAGGTAAGACATTTTTTTTTCAATTGCTTGAATGATCATTATTTTTGAATATATATCTATCTATAAAACAATAAGCACCTGCTATCGCCATTTGCACAGTAATATAACCTTTGTAAGACGTAAAGGCCTATGTGGCATCTGTATATATTTGTATATAGAGATGAAGGGGACGTGTTAATAATAAAAATAATATTATATATATATATATATATATATATATATATATATATATATATAAAATAATAATAATAATAATAATAATAATGATGAGAATAGTATATATATTATTGTTATTATTATTATTATTAATATTAATATTATTATTATTATCATCATCATCATTATTCTTATTATTATTCTTTTTGTTCACAAATTATCGACCATTTACCTATTCATATGTAACAGAGCATTATTACCGAATAATCATCATCAGCATCACCATCATTTTCATTCTGATTATTATTATTGATGTCGTCTATGTCATCATTATTGTCATCATCATCATCATCATCATCATCATCATCATCAATCAGAAAACAGTTATACAGGTGCATACACATAAGCGTATGCATAATAAAGTAGATATTATAGAAACAACTAAACTTGAATATATTGTTTAACACATGTTACCGTTCTTCAGCCTTGCCTGTTTCTGTATACACTATTTCATTTTATTGCAGACATACAGTAAAAATTGAAATAAAAATTTATTGATTTTTTTTCTCGTAAATTTATTCATAATTTTGTATAATTTTTTCATTTGCTAAGGGAGGCAATTTACATAATATTTATGTCGTATACAAAAATTATAAGTAATGTAGTTGGAGAGATATTTTATTAAAGATCTATGTTATAATGTATTTTGTTTATATTTCAGTACACATTGTTCATGTTGATTTGTTGGTGGATCTACATTATATACCATACATTTGTAATATTTAGTGTGCATTATTTTACACATTGTAGGTACTAGTGACTTTATTAAATGCAAATGATGATTATGACTACCAGTAAAATTCAGGAAAAGTCAAAAATAATGAATAATTGTGAAAAATAGATGATAATGGTATGCGCACAGAAAATTAGACACGACGAGCTCACATATACGCGACTATTAAATAATAAATATAGAAATGTTAGATATACTTGATTAAACTAATATAATGTTATCTAAAGAATGCATTTTTATATCATAGGTTGACAAATTTATGTAATTAACAGCATCGAATATTTTTAAATCGATTCTTCTAAACGTGCTACTTTCATAATAATAAAATATTAACAAATATTTAATTGACTAAACAAGATAAATTTATCAAAAATTAATGTACTTCATGAAAGTACAAATTGGTATCAATGGTAATTAATTATATTTGAAATCTAATGATTAATTATATCATGCAATGTGATTATTATTTTATTTTACCAATTCTATCCTTCAATAAGATATTTTGAGGAATGTTTTAAAAATATTCGAAGACTAGCAGATGTAGTGAAATGTCAGAGGCCTTATCATATCTCATATTGAGTAACGTATATGGAACAATAAAAATGATTTGAGAAAAATGTGACAGTTATAACAAGAAAACAAAAAACTAGATTGCAATGCTATACTGTGATCTTTATAACATTTTAACACAAAGGGAACTCCATATCGTTATAGAAGGAAGCTTTTCCATGCTTTCATAAAATTTATTACAAATAAATTATACTCTCTTACTACCCTCCTCCTTTTTGCAAAAATGGTTGAAAAGATCACATTTATAATAGAATACCAAATTAAATTGGAGGAATGTTAAAAAGAGATGAAAGTGCATGGTGACAAAGTTTACAAATGAAATTTAATAATGGAAGATCACTTTTTTTTAGATCAGGGTTATACCCTGCTTTATTTGTACATATTGTATTATGATTAAAAAGTTATATATTATACGATAGTGGAAAAATATTAATTATTAATATAATTATATATTTAACAAGTAAGAATGTAATGATAGTATTTTTTTTGTCCGACAAAAAAATATCAATTTTTAGAAAAATATTTGGCCACAGAACGGAGAATGATGTATTTTTAATTAGTTATTATATATAAATATAAATATAAATATAAATATAAATATAAATATAAATATAAATATAAATATAAATAATATAAATATATATATATATATATATATATATATATATATATATATTTATATTAACAAGGATAACATTAATAAAACTTCATGGATTAGGAGACTTTCTTCTCATTCATATGAAAATATAATTAAATGCACCTCTATATATATTTTCTCTGTAATTTATATATTATATCCTTGAACCTCTACTTTAAATACATTATAATATTATAATCTTACTACAGTATTGATAAAAATATTTTAATATACAATTTTTTTATTTTGTTATATAAGACAAAAAACAGAATATGAGAAAGATAGCTCAATAAAAGAGAGATGTATTAAAAAATTAATTTTGTTTTGTTAACACTAATTAAATGAATGTGATAAATTTTCTGGCACATATCTATACAAATGATTAGCACTACATACAAAATTTTTTATAAATTTTCAACTTTATTAATACGTTTTCTTTTTTAATAACAGCTTGATTACAAAATGAATGTATTCAAAACAAAAAAATAATTAATTTATTTTGTTAATATATATATATATATATATATATATATATATATATATATATATATATTTATATTTATATATACATAGACAATAATTACTACTAATTACTAGGAATTTTTTCTAAATGCCTTATGGCATCCTTAATTTTGCATAGCAACTCCTGTAATTGCTGCAATGTACATGTAAATGTCACATATTTTATTTCTGCATATTCCTTTGTGGTAAACCGTACATGATACTGAAAGGATCCAATAGAACTTTGAAATCCATACTGTAAATTAAAAGATATAGGTATACTCATTGTTATATTTATTATTTATATCTCAAGTATGTTTATTAACACATAAACGTTGAATAAATAGAATTTGAAACAATAATATACCTTAATGCAATGACTTAAACGCCAATCGGTGTCTACTATATGGGGTAAATTATTTCCAATTAATTGTAACTGCATTTGAATTTCTTGTTTATTATTTGCATAGCTATAACATATTTTGTCTGCTCTGTGACTAACAATTGGTATGTTATTTAAAAATTTTTCTAAACTTTCCTTATCGAAATCATGTCTAGCAGCTTCAACGAAAAGACAGCTTAAGTCGACAAAGGCATTTTTGGCAATGTCAAATTTTGAACTGTTGGTTTTGATGCTGCACTGACCTTTTGTTTTAATATAAATTTACACAGTATAATGCAAGCGTATTGTGAAGTAAAAGTAATTTTACTTTTAATATAATTTTGTACATATTTTACCTTTCGGGTCTACAGTTTTACCTATATTAAAAATTACAGCTTCTAAAACCTGCACGAAAATCTCTTCAGATAAAATATTTAAGTCTTTAATATTTGTAAGATTATTCATTATTTTCTCCGATAGTTCCATCTTAAATTTAAATTTAATAAGATTATAGTTCTTAAGAAGAATACGTTTATACTGTTCTATTTGTTAGATTACAATGTATGTCTTGAAATGCAATAGAATTTGACAAACAATCAATTTTATACACGCATTTGTTTAATAGTTTTATTATTTATTAATTATAATGAAGTTACGAACGCCATTTCGATGGCACTATTAAAATATTTTAATATGTTTTTTAATAATTTAATACGATGAAATTGTTTTTAGAAATGGAGACCAGAGGCACGACTTGTTTGACACGGCACTGTTTGACAGAGCTTCTTAAAAGTATCACTAGGAGATGCTTTGATTAATTTGAAGTTGCTCGAGTAAAGATGACAATATTAGGAAAACATTGTTTTTCTATTGAATACAAATATTTGTACGTGTATTAGTTAGAATAAGAATGAAAAGATTTTAGAAAAATTCAGAAATATGCAGCCATTCGCTCGGTAGTCCTTACGTTATATGATTTACAATTAGATATCGATATATCGCAAGTATTACCGACCCAGGTCTCACCACGTGGAGGTTGCTGTATCTGGAGACCCACGGGCTAACATTGAATCTATTCTAAAATCCACGTTCCACGATCCCTCTTAGCTTTGGGAGCTTCAGGCTTCTTAACTAACAAAAGATGTATGAAACGGATTATTAAGCACGACCGTTGGTTTCCGAATTTCGAACAATAAAAGCGCAGTCCTCGGTAGTACTTTTAATCACGTCCGTGCGACACTACGTGTGCGTTAAAGTAATGCTTATACTACTCTAAATCCGCGTTCACGAGGTAATCTAATCGAATTTTCAAGCAAATGAAACAAAGTCCACGGTAGGACTATTAATCTCGCCCGAACATCCACGTGAGTATTAGAAAAACGATGACTCCAATTTAAAATCCGCGGGTTCCTAGAGAATCAGGCGAGCAATCAAATGAAGTTTAATCTTTTATAAATACAATCTGTGCGACTGTTAAAAAAGCAATAAACTTTACGAACAAACACAGACTCTAAAGACTGCATTACACGTAGTCGATGCAAAAATACTTGCAGCTTAAGTCGCGAAATGCGAACGAACAAATATTACTTCCACTTCGTGATATTCTTATTTTAGCGATACAAATACTCGATTACATCATTGCTTAAAATTATTACTATCACTGTTATAATAAGAAATTGTATAAATTATTGAAGAAACGGGCGATGTAAAAATATACTTACATTAAATATTTGTTGATACTTGCAGCAAAGACATCCTTCGAATTTTACTCGTCAGACGACAAAGGAGAACTGATCTAAGAAATCGTCCAAGTCAATAAAAAGATCATATATGTTGATATAAAAAAAAGACAATAACCACGAGATGAATATTTTAAAGTATTGAAATTTTTAATTAAAATTATTTTAAATTTCTTGTGTGTTACGATCTTCGTAATGTTTGTGCGAATGTATTATTTTTTAAATATTAGTATATCGTATTCCGTATACATTAAAGATTGTTTAAATAATTGGAATATTATCGAAAGTACAATTTTATAATATTTCACGTTTCTTAGATTTTGCTTACATACTTAGCAACGAGCGCGCGTATAAATTTTTATTCCACTCAAAGCTCATTAAAACGTCCGTACAAGTGATGAACGGTAAATGCATATGCGTTTATTTGGAAAAGAAAATTTCATCATAGATTTACATACATAAAGAAGGAAACAATCGTCTATTTTACAAAAACAAAACACTCAATATTTATTTGTAAATCATCAATAGCATGGTGAGAGGTTTGTCTCTTTTGCCGCAAAGTTTAGGGGCGCCACTATAAATGTCGAAAAATGTCGAAAACTGCGAGTCCAGTCTTGATTACAATATGTTCTCGTCCTATGACACTTGGGTCTATTCAAATGTTTATTCAAACGTTCAGACGTAGAAAATTTGTTTCAATTATTTGATGTTCGATCCTGGTTGTCATTTATTTAGGTTAGAGCGATTGGATTAGGCTCGAAAATGATATGGTTTTAATATAACTCGGTACGTATGAATCGTGTCACATAAGATTATCTATTGAAATGAGGAAGAAAATAATAATAAAGGTTATTGGTAAGTATTTTCTTAACAAGTAAAACTATATATACTTTTATTTCAGTAAGCAAATTTTGCAATTTCTAATTAGTCTAGATGTAATACATTTACATGAAAATAACCTTTCCAAATATTAGGTAGAGTTTGCCTTGTACACACATTTTAAGAGATATACGTATATGTATGTAGACATTTACGAATATGTTAATAATAATTTTTACTTGATTACCAATAGCTTGTTTTTCTATTTGACTGTATTAAGTAGCATGAAATCTGTAAAAATTGCCCTACGATATATTATATAAATTATTTATATAGAGTTGTATAATGGGCAAATTTTTGTTTACCTATTTGAAGTCATAAAAATCAATAATAATTCCATAGATTAAAATAGCACTATAATGACATTTGAGATGTTATAAATCATATCTTCTTTACAGCAAAAGAATCTTATCTAATGTATTATGTTCTATTCTCTAAAATTTTAAACTTTAGATACAGTTAAATAGCACCAAGAATTATGTTAATGAGATGAAATAAATTAAAACGACAAATTTACACTTACATAATACCCTGACTGTATAATTGTATAAAATCAATATTACTTCTCAAAAATTGTACAATAAAAAAAAAAAAAAAGAAAGAAAAAGAAACAGTAGCATAACGTATAGTTTCCTAAATTTTTTTTCGAGCTCTATTCAATTAGTAAGAGATAAGTAGTGATATTGTGAATTTCCAAATAATATATTTTCCGCATCAATACAATCCCATGTTGATTACGTTACGCATACTGTTTGAGATCGCATTACATTGAATTGCTACGTATGTGGTACTTTAGCCCGAACTAATGAGATAAAGCAGAATTAAGCAGAATCTCTTGAAAAATAGTAAAACGGCTATTTATATTACATACAATTAATCGAAGATTCGTTATTCGCATCTTGCCTAATGACCATTTAACCGTTACCACCAATCAAGAAATGATTTGAAATATAATAAAAAGATGGTGGGAGTTAAACGCGAATAGAACAGTGATTCATGAAATGGACGCCAATTTATTGTACGTATTTACGCATCTATTTAACTGATAATAGATGGGACTTTTACCATTTGCATTGCTTTGTATTAGCAAACTTAAAGTAGTACGTATGAACGTGAGGTAAAAGCAGAAAGAATTGGTATAGGAACAATCAAATAATTACAAATTCTATTCGTTTTGATATAATTTAGATTCATTCAGGAAAGAATTTCATATATTATTGATAAGCATGCTACTCTTATTGTAAATAAAGTGGGTTTCGCATCATTTTGCTTTTACCGCACGTGTATGTGTCATTCGACTCGACGAAATTAGTAAACGCAGGATTCTTAACTATTTTCTTGCTCAAGGGATTTCTTTATGATATTCCTTCGCGCGTTTGTCTTAACAATTTGATTTTGTGATTGCCGCTGTCTCAATACATGTTGCGAATTGTCGGTTGATCTATGTAGGTTCCTAAAATGGTTAAGCTCTCCTAGCGATGAGGGACGTTGGCAATTCCATGAATCACTCCAACTGCACAAAATAGAATCTTTTTGAATAAGTCTACATCAAAGAAATAAAATTAAGAGATTACAAAAAACATATAAAATGGAAAGGTGTGTGTGTGTGTGTGTGTGTGTGTGTGTGTGTGTGTGTGTGTGTCTAGATTGTAAGAACAATAATACCTGTCACACTTACCGTGCAAGGCTATTTGTTGCAGCATGAAAGATCATGAATTGTAAATCCATTACAATTGGAATAGATAGAGGAAAAATTATCTAACATATTTGTATTTCCAGAAACAATGTATATATCTATTTATAATACATGCTGTTGACATTATACTATTAATCTTTCAATTAAAAGACTTGCACTTATTACTTTCATAAAGTGGGGTTTATCCATATAAAAATAAGGATTTATTTATCAATTTTCTAGCAACCGCAATCATGTATTTTATGACAGAAATGATCACGAAAAAAGAAACTTTTATAGATCTTGTATTATTAATTTGCATTGTTTGTATAAGTTTTATAAAATGTTAAGAAATGATAAAGTACTTAGAACATACATACATACATATATACATACATACATACATACATACATACATACATACATACATACATACATACATACATATATATATACACATATATATATATATATGTATGTATGTATGTATGTATGTATGTATGTATGTATGTATGTATGTATGTATATATGTATATGTTAACAAAAATATATACATAGGTCACAAATAACATTGGATATTCATGCAGCACAAATAGAAATATGATTACTATGTAATCAAACAAATAGCTTTTAGATAGAAGAGATGCACAAATATAAAGGCATTAAGTGCAGAAAGAAGTAAATATCCCAATAATAAATCACATAGACTGGTGCACTCTACCTTCCCAATCCTGAAGCTGTTCGCATGAAATCATCCGCATGAGGTTGTGACCAGAGCAGCAATAATAACATGTTATTTATGATGCATTTAATGCAGGGATATCAGAAAAGTATGTATTACTTTGAAGCGGATTAAAAGTATATTCGTCCTTTGTATTTTTCCATTATTTCATATGTTTTTAATATTTATATGTTTTAATATTAACACCATCTCTAACATTAAAACTCGATTAATTTATAGTCTGATGAACTTTTATAATATCAAACAGCAATAACATAAATACAATCTAATATGATTTATTTTTATAAAATTTATAGGAAATTGCTGTTTTATTATTGTTGATTTTGATTTTATATTGTATAACCAACTTGATTTTCTTTTTCAATCTAAATATATCAAATAGAAGAGATAAAAATATAGCTCCTGTAAATATGTATCAATCGAATCAATTGCGAAGATAAATACATTGAATGCTCGGATATAACAGAACTTTATGTAAAGTAGAATAAAGGATCGAATTCAAAGGGCCTAGACTAACAGTTGACAACAATTTAGTTCACCATGGATCTTAGTTAAAAAAATAAGTCATATATATAATGAAATAATTTGTTGATAATATCGAATATCGAATATCTATCATTTCATTAGAAATATGGCATAACAATGTAACATTATTTTTATCTTTTTTTACAGTATATCGATGTTAAAAAAAAAAATCCTGTTGGTTACTATGAATATATTTCTAATATATAAATAATTAATTACGCCTAGCAAGGAAATAAAAGTACCCTCTTACCTGACGAGAGGCCCTATTGTGCTATCTTGTGGAAGTGATTGCAGAAGCGAAGGTCCTGCCGATACAGGTCGTATCTATATTAAAAAGTGACGAATTAACTTATATTATTTAATTACTACGTTCTGCATCACGCACCGAATAGAAATAAATATACCTTTTCGGTTTGTGTGGCAGCATTGCACATGTCCACAAGTAAAGATTTACTAAAATTCGCTGACGGAATGTTACTTTCCATATCTGCACCATTCGAAGTTTTGAGTTTTGTCATTTGAAACTGAAATGTAATATAAATTCAATCAGTAGAATGTTTTCTTGATTATATCAATGAAGTTAAATAAATATTAAGCAGTATAAAATTTACCTGAAGTATTTGTATAGTTCTATCTCTATCTTCTACTTGACCTTGCAAAAAGATCACCTGTCTACGTAAATCCGTCAGCTCATCAGCGATACTGCTTCCCCCACTGCCTGGAGACGTGCTAACATCCGCTGTACCACTTTCGTTCAGGGTGTAGAAGAGACCATTCTACTCGTATATAATATGAGACGACATGGAAATCACTTACCGATTGTGCATACAATCATTATTGGACGATTAATGATATTAACGTTAAATATTTTACTGACCTTTATAGTATTATCGAATGGGTTGAGAGCCTCCGGCTGAAAAATAAAATGCACCAAGTTATATATCAATTGATATAAACTGTAATCTCACATTTTGAATTAAGATATGTGATTTAACATACGGACTTATCGATAGAGTTTGACTTAAAAAAAGAAAAAAGAAGAAGAAAAGAACATAAGCAACGAATGTAACGTACCCTCATCAAACTGTTCTCTCCTGACTTGAAACGTAAAATGAAGGATGACCGTACAATAATGAAAAATAAAAAAGAATTGTTAATCGAAAGACAAACAAAAGTATTTATAAAAAATAAAGAGACATTCGACGTTGAGAAATGATCGGTTTTTGTTTTAAATACCAAGTCGTGCAGTATCTAGATGTATATCTAGAAAAAAAAAAAAAAAAAAAGAAACATATTAAAAAGAAACGTTGACTATCGTACCTCCTGAAGTACTCTTTTTAGTTTTAAGAGCATAGTCTTAAGAGAGACAATGTCTTGAAACATGTACTGGAAGGTGGCACGGTCGATCCTGATGGTTGTGTCGTCGCTCGTATCGAAACTGGGAGATGGTATCTAAAATCAAAATTATGTCGAGATAGATCTAAGCAACCTATTACATACTCTTCCTTTTTATTCTTTATTTCTTTTGGCAAAATACTCACGCTTCTTGGTGTTCTTAGAGGACTTGGTATCTGACGACTACGAACGCTATCCAACGAACGTGGTGACTCTGCACCTGACCTGCTTCGCAATAATCTTGAATTTCTCCCATTTGTGATTCTGAAATCAATTATAAAGTAAGCGATCATTTTTTAACATTCATTCGTATCATATTCTTTCGAGAGATCTATTTTACATTGCATTATTTTTACGTCGAGACACCAAATTATTATATTTCGTAAAACTTGAATAAACAAAGTCGGACCATTTGAAAAAATGTTAGACCTTATTGAAATTAAGTCGATCGTGAGAGTTCTCGCGAATATATTATAGGTAATGTTGATATTCGTGCAACAGATACCTTTTCGCAACATGCAAATGTTGGATAAAACGCAAGAACGATCAAAATTTCGCTGTATCATAGAGAACTTGGATAAACTACCGACATGCTTGCGATTTTAGTTTTACGATCATATACACCCCTCCATTAAAACATTTTTACATTCAATAATTTACGGTAATATTTCTTAAAAGAAAACAAAAATTATGTATAAAGAAAATTTGATTTAATTCAAAATTGGAGTGGCTCCGAATTTGCAAAAGCAGCGTTGAAAATACGAATAATTACAGATCGAATGGACCTATTACTACATGCTACTACGTGTTAAAAGAAAACTCGGGAAAAGATTATCGAAGTTATGATATTTAATATTCAGAGAACGTAATGTTTATTAGGAACAATATTTATATACAAGAAAAAATGCGTACTCTCTTTGTGAGAGTATAGGAGAAAAAGCTACCTGCCGTACTCTGACTTAGCACGTGATACTGGGACAAGTACGGTGGGGTTAGTCGTGGTGGTGGTGGTAGTGGTAGTAGTAGTAGTGGTAGTGGTGGTACTGATAGTGATAACATTATCACTCGATTTTGGTTGCCTAGGCGGCGGAGAACCTCCCGTCGGTGTCGAACATTCCGAAGACAAGCCGGAATCACGACCATCCTCGCAATTCCCATTCGACGTTCCACCACCGATATCGTTCTCGCGTATTCTTGTCGATGGCACTGTTCGTTTCTTAGCACCCGACGAGACACGAGAAGAGGCCATCGTCGTTCGTTTGCGTGTGCACGACAAAATAGCTTTATTTTATCGGTTAAATCTCTCTCTCTCTCTCTCTCTCTCTCTCTGATCGAATTGCGTCTTGCGAGCGTGAGAAACGCGTAAAACCAGATCCAGAAGAAAATATACCCAATGATACTTTTCATTTATTTTGTGGTTAATGTGCGGATAGACATAGATATCGTTTGCCTATCTCTATAAAACGATCTACAAAACTAGTTAGATTACCACCGGTGTACTTTTTCGATTGAAAAATAGACGCTACTTTACTTATTAACTTGTAAAGATCGCAAATTTTTAATTAGAAAACAATGGCAGAGTGCGTAAACGAGAGAAGAACAACATTTTTTGTCCGTCCAGTGACTGTTGTTATCGACGACAAAATGGAATCAATTGTTTTCGTTTTGTTAACATGATCTATAGAAATTCATGCCGCACTGTGAAAGAAAGAAACGAGGAATTTCATTGATTTATTCTCAATCCCTTGGCAAGTTATTTTCAGAATGAAAGAGAGAGAGAGAGAGAAAGACATCGAACATCTAACAAATCGATATTATACATTTAGAAATTCTTTCTCATCGTAGACATTGTTTCGTTGCGAATGACGATGGTGTATAACTTCATAACGATCTTCCGATGACGAAACGTTCTTGGACGTCATTCTTTTCTTTTGTTCACGTTTCCACAAAGACGATGGATCACAGGAATAAGCGAAGAAGTAAGTCTTCTTGGCGAGTCAACATTCGCGAAAAATGTGCGAGATTTGACACGTGTACGGATAAGAATACACACACGCACATACACGCGCGTAAACACATGTGTAAGAGAAGCCGTGAAGAGTAAACGCCGAGCAAAGGCCGAGTGAACACGTTCGGGGAATGTCCTCGAAGAGGATAAACACACTTTTGAAGGACCTTCGATGTTAGTCCGTCGACGATCGGCAGACTAGTCGGCTGCTACCAGTTAAAGTTCCAAAAGGAGGAGGAGGAAGAAGAAGAGAGGATTGCGCGTCGTAAAATGGCGCATGCGTTCCGCGAAAATACAGCGTTTCGCTCGATATCCAGGGAGTTTGTGCTAGTGAAGGAGAGAAAGGGAAGGATCCCCTCCCTTTTTTAATCGAGGAGAGAGGGCAAACTGAAGGGCAAGCTGGCTGCGTGTGCAAAGGGTTAGCCAAGCTGAAGCTAGACCGAGAAGATCGATTTTATTCATTTTCATTTGTTTTTTATTTTTCTTTTTTCTTTTTTTTTCTTTTTTTTTTATTTTTTCGATAATTTTTAAACGCGTTGATCGATGATATCGACACGTTAGAGTTCATCACTCTTTAAAAATCGAGCAATCAATGAACAACACTTTCTAATTTTTTCATCCTTATTCGCTATAAAATTCTATTAAAAATTCCTAATCGTATAAAGTTATTCAAAAAAAGAATATCGTCAAAGTTAAATCACACCATTCTCTTTTGTATTTGTAAATAAATAAAAAAAATACCTAGCATATTTGCAACGTATTGAGATTAATCGCAGGAATGTTCGATTAAACTAATCATTGATTGAAAACATCGTCATCGACAAAAGTGCTAATGTCTCGAGTTACACGTCGATCGTACATTTAATCCCACACAAAAGTCAGAATATTAACGAGATACATTTGATTTGACTATCTTTTCAGATAGGTCAATGTTTCCGTAGAAGATAAAGAATTAACAGAACAAACCGTAGAAAGAAATCGTAGTTCGCTAACTGGTAACGCTCTGATTGGTAATGAAAGAGTTAGATAGGAGGTAAGCAACTGTCTTTACGATGCTTACCTATTTAAGTAACTTCCGCCATTTCGATTTCCCTCATCGATGTAACTGTTTCTCATGAAATAGAAGTTTCGCAATTGAAAAAAACAAAAAAAGAAAAAGAAAAAAAATAAAACCTTCGCGCTTGAATTTCTTTCAAAATCGAAACGACGAAACGAAATAAATCGGGAAAAGTTTCTTAATGTTAGCGGGACGTGCGATTCATTTATTTTATCCTTTCACAATGAGCGAAGTCACTTAATGAATCATTTCGTACCTCGAAATAATACGAGTTATGACTCAACCATTTAATAAATGTATGTATTTGCACATACACACTTACTCACGATTTACTTATTGCAGGGTAATCAATAGAAAAATAGCACCCAACTTTTATGATGATATTTCATAAAATAAAAGTGCAGTGCTTTTCAAAATGTCAATTGTAAAAGAAAATGCGTAACGTAAAAGAAATGGCGAAGCAAAATAACTATGAAATTCGTTGAATGAGCACTTTTTTATACAGTCTAATCCAAGTTCATTTTTTCAGATCTATTCAAGATATATTCGTTATCATCGCGATTTAATTAATAACGGATTAAGAGGCACATAGTTAATAAGAAGAATCGTCGATCACGAATCGATGAAGGTTCAAAGTGATACTCTAAACGCTCACAAAGTATTATAATTATACATGTCCTTTATTTTGTTCTTCATAGTAGATCACTATACTCTTGGAAAAAAGAATAGAAATGGCAAGGCTATTAACGCAAGAAGAAACCGGTTCGTAACGAACGCGTTCTTTGTGTGAATATAAATGCGTAAAAAGATTTTGAGAAAGTTCAATTTATATTGCAATTCACGATATGATTTGTTCGATTAAGAAATAAATTCGTAATCTTCGAAAATATTTCACCTTGATTTCGCGAAATTTTTATAGTGGAATATTTAAAAATAATTTTTCCTTATTTTCGTCAATACCGAATATTGTAAATTTGAAAATAATTTCAAATGTCTTTCTGGTCAAATAAAAAAATCGACAATTGCAGTTGCAGGTGAATATACGTAAGACTAGCATTCTGGTTGCATAGAAATTAGGGGCTATTGGTACTACTCTAGGTCGTATCAACGAAATAAAAAAATGCAATATATATATATATATATATATATATATATATATATATATATATATATATTCGGGATGACATTCAGGAAAAAGAAAAATTATGGTATGATCTCATGCTTTTAGAGTATTGTAATCACTGGTCGAACAACGATAAAAATGATAAGAAAAACAAAAAAAAAGAAACGATCTAGTTCATTTTATTTCTACTTTTTATGAATTCGACGTTTTTCTTCAAAGGACATATAAATGTTTGCACATCAAAATCAACTAAACGAAGCAAATTTACTAGACATTGTAATTTTTACGGTAGTAAGGTAAACTTGAATGGAATTATATTAGATATTACATGCCATAAGCGTCGTGTAAAAACCAGATAAAGCGGAGAGAAAAAGGAAGTTCCGTGCGCGAAAAAGGAAGAATCGCAGAGCAATGCAGAACTTTATCGTCTTTATCGTATTTCCCAACGAATAATCTTTACCCAACTTTTCAGTATATTCTTTGCCGTATTAAGTTTATTAACGACGATTAGTGAATATGTACGTACACATACGCACACATACATTATATATATATATATATGTATGTGCGTGCATATAAAAAGAAGATAATATTTGTTAACAAAGAGATTAAATAACGAGTTATTACAACAAGAGTTAATTAATTGCCATCGTAAACGATCACTCGAAACTGAATCATTTTTTTTGGAATCGTCCCTTTACTCTCCGCCAATTATCCTGGAAGTCTATGAATTATATACATACACATATATACATATACATAGAGAGACATTAATGTATATATATATTTATATATATATATGTATGTATATATGTATGTATGTATATGTATATTTATCTTTATTTTCGCGCAAAATTCATACGATTGATGCAACGAATGAGAAAACCTTTTTTTGTTTTGTTTTGCAGATTCTTCAAACATGATATATATATATATATATATATATATATATATATATATACACACGAAGAAGAAGAGAAGACTTTCCGGACAATGCACAAATCACATTCATATAGTTATTACTCGTTACGGAGGAGGCGAATGCAGATATGTAGCTGATGAGAAATTATTTACCCGTTCTTCGTAGATGATCGATTTCCTTTCTTCGAGGAGGAAAAGCAGGAAAAGAAGTGGAGAAGAAGAAAACGATCTCATCTCGTTGTAATCTTCTTGAAAATTTTCCCTCGCGTTAACTTCCTTCTCGTACTTCCGCCCAAAATAATGAGAAATCCATTTTAGCGACACTATCCCTTTTATTTTTCTTAGATTTCATTTTAGTTCATCACATTATTTTTTTTTTTTCTCAAAATTCAAAAAGACATTAATGCAATCGTTCGATTCGTAAATACAATCATTCTTTCATTTCTTCCTTTCTTCTTTCGTTCTTTTTTTCTTTTTTCTTCTAATTCGATCAATTGTTCATATTCTTCTTCTTTTTGGTCAAAGATAGTTTGTTAACATCGAAAAATGATGGAATTTCATCGTCATCGCGTTTCCATTCTTTTCTTCGAACTAATCTTCTTTCTTCTAGTTTTTGATTTTTCTCACATAACGATTCCCACATAAACGATTTCCTTCGAGCGAACGACACGATATTTGCGACGATAATATCGGGAATAACTTTCGTATTTTATTATAGTAGACATAATAACCTGTGTATATATAGACATATTTTTATTGCGAGAGAGTAATAGCATGGACATCGATTGAGAAAAAATAGTTTACAAGTTTCCCCTAATATCGTTTAGGAACACGAAGGAAACGTGTACCTATCTCTATTTCTTTATTTCTTTCTTTCTCTCTCTCTCTCTTTCTCTCTCTTTCTCTTTCTCTCTCTCTCTCTCTCTCTCTCTCTTTCTTTCTCTCTCTCTCTCTCTCTCTCTTTCTCAAACTCTGGTTTCTTCAGAGGTTACGCTTTTTAACGCTTCTTATTATGGCACTTGCTTTCTAAACTCTAATACGAAGACTAGATTATTTCGCAATGTTTAGGACGAACAATGTTTAGAGAACAGTTTATTTTCCTTTAATCGCGATCAGTGAGGTCCTTTGGCGTTGCATCAGCGGTACAAGCAGTTATTCATTTATATATAAACATCATATTTTAAATCAATAATACTGATATATATATATATATATATATATATATATATATATATATGCTTGTATATGCAATAATTTGATTAAATTCGGACTTTGAATCCGATCGGTACGAGGAAAAAGAAAAATAATCGCGTAGGGCTATTGGGTTGAACTTAAAAAGAGCACATTATTCAACGATTCTGAAAATATTTCAAGGTATTTCATTATTCTCAAAGCCGTAGCTCGATAAGGAAGCGATATTATTTATCAATCAAACAACTAAATTCTCCAATTGAAAGTCATTTATATCTCTGCAAAACAGTGGGATTAGAGTCAAGCGCGTTTTTTTCTTTCGTTGAACTATAGCTCGAGAATAAGAAGACAACAATCGTGTTTCTTTTTTTACGATACGAAAGGAAGCACCGAGATTTAAATCAAGTTTGAAATCCGATCGATCGTTCTTACAAAATCGCTTCAATTTATATTTATATAGTTCAATGTAATTATTTTTTGGAATATATAAAGATCGGACGATCTCTTCGTACATACGTATGCATGCAATTATATAATAATACACGATAAGAGCGATATAATGATACGTGGGAACAAAGTAGTGACTACTTGCTACACATATTATTTTTACCGGTTGATTAGAAAGTCCTTAAAAATACCAAAAATCTATATATATATATATATATATATATATATATATATATATATATGCATATATGTTTATATCGTATCGTGTTAGTATATCTTACGATTAACCCATCATTGAGACCTCGAGAAAAGACGAGTAATTATCGGACGTGGCAAAAAGGACGTATGAAATTGGAAAAATAATCTCTAGCTTATTCTCCTTTAGATTTTATCTGTAACCCTCTAAAGCCTATTACCACGGAATGAGAACGCTCGAGAGAAGGCATATATTATGTACGTATTTATTTATTTCAGGCATGTCAAACACATGACATATATTTAAACGGTATATTTAAATGAATTCACATATTAAAAGATTAAAAATAAAAATAAGGGGAATATCAGCTGTATACACGAAATTCTATGTAAATTTTGGCTGTAATCAAAAGATAAAGCTAGTAAGGAACATTTTAAGAGCATGAATATAATTAAAGTTCTTTTTAAATTATGGCATATAACTAAAAATTTACTCAACCGAATTTGACATACCTGATTAATTGCTTAAATATTACTAATATCTGCAAAATTCTTACGGCACAACTACGATAATTAGGTGATGAATGTCATCTGATTTTAAAACAATGGGACAATTTATGAGGCCGTTGGAAAATAGATAGTTTCATTATACTTATGCCGTTACAAAAAAATTTTTTTAAAAACTTGTTATATTTTTCTGCGTTCTTCACGATCCGTGGCAACGCTCGTAAACTATTACAATCATCATATCTGGTTGATCAGCGATAGTGCAAGAATAGTATACCGTTTGTATCTTTGTACGAATTTTTTTAGGACACTTCTTTTTCTTTTTCTTTCTTATTGTTCATTTTTCCTTTTACTCTCTTTCGTCCCTATCTATTTTTTCCTTGTCTCCTTTCCTCCCTTTCTTTTCACTCGACATCTCCATTTTTTCTTTGCTTTTTCTAATTTCTCTCTCTCTCTCTCTCAACGTTCATTCACGTAATACGCATTCCACCCTTACGCTTTCTTGTAAACACACGTACGTATCTCGTCAGGCTGTATCTGTCTGAACCCGTTCCCCGTTTGGGAAATATCGAGAAATTTGCTGCTCTACATCGGTTTTGTTAGGTGTCGAGAGAGGAGGCCCGGCGAACTCCGGTTGCTAGTTAGGATATGTCAGCTGGTAGTAGTCCCCACCAGCGCAGTCCTCATCGGGGATTTGTAATTGCTTCACTCGTGTTACTAGTGCGCTAGAACACAAAATACTATCGCTGAAATTCACCGTCGGCCCGCCTTTCGAATTTTATGCATTCATGCCGCTTTATTTGTCTTTTAATATTTCTTTTTAGCGTTCTCGGTTGCCCGTTTACTGCGTACACGTCACGTCGATCTTCGCAGAGACGTGGTTAGGTGACTACAAATCAACGATACACAATTTCATTACGAATAGCAAACATTTTCGATCAACGCTATATATACACACATATATATATATATATATATATGAATATGTATATATATACATATATATACGATATACTGGTACAATCACTTTCCTTCTGTTAAATGTGATAAAAAATTGATCGCCGTGATATTGATTAACACGATAATATAAGTTTAATATACGTTTCAAGATTTCTACTATCTATGAATGACGATACAAGTGACTACTGTAAAAAGCTGAAAAAGTTCCTTTCAAGTGCTTCCTTCTAGCGATATGGATAAAACTAGCTGTGGCTCGTATGCGCATTTAAACAGTCTGTATATGGAAGAATATGAACGATCGGTACATTTACAGAAAGCACGTAGAAAATCTTAATCGGTATAAGAATAAAATCTTAATAAATATAAGAATGCTCGTTAAAAGCGAGAAGACAACGAGCTTTCCTTTAAATCAAACGATATTAAACAAACACATTATCGTACGTTGCTTGTTTGAAAATATTTTGTAATATTTTCTAGTGAAAGAACAAAATGATCTGCACTTTTACAAATGTTCGTTTCTGCGAAGCTATACGATTCCCCTGCAATAAGGTAGAATGAATCTCGGCGACATGCTTTCGTGAGACGGCTATATTTCGGTCTTACTTCAAAACGACGTTCATGTATAATCAATCGAACACTTTGCAAAAGGGCGAAAGCGGAAAAATACGCACGAACCATAGGATGACAATCAACGGGTAAAGCAAATGAAACTCTTTTGTAAATATAAATATATGACAAAAGAATCAATCCTATACAAAGTGCTATACACTTGTAAATTGCTCCAGTGACCACGTATTACTTGTATTTATCACTTGGGGAAAAAAAAAGAAAAAAAGAAAAAAAAAAAACAATTTCAATTATTTCCTTAGTGAATCGTGAATCATTGTCGGAAGAGATATGAGCCCAGGATCAATATTACGTGTTACAGATGCAATTACTCTCCCCCATCTCCAACAACAATAACAATTCATACATCGATAAACAGGACACTATTAGAAAGAAAAGAAAAAGAAAACCAAACAAATAGTAACACTTAAATGCCCAACTACGAAGCCAATGAAAGTGTGAATACACACCCAGATTCCGTAGAGGAATGATTGTTGTTGTTCGAGGTGCTGTTGTTGATATTATTGTTTACGGTATTTGAATTAGCACTTTGCTGTTGCATAGGTTGAGCCGTGCCCAGTAGCGAAGTCCACTGTCTCATCACTTCCTCGCCTTGTTGCTCCAATTCAGAAAGTATGGTAGCATCGTCTAATTCGTGCAATGCAGGATTGGAGTCCAATCTGGAGAAAGACATTGAAAAATTTAGAGCCATAGGAACAATTGAAATCTATCTCATTAAGATGTACAACGCCGATTACTAACCGATTATGTGTATCCTCGGTGGAACTTGCATCGCTGCGTTCATAATCTAACATCAAATCGTCCGAAGCGATTGATTCACACGGAGATAACGTATCGACGCTTCCAGCACGACTTATTCGTTTTCCATGAAGTGGACTGATACCTGAATTTTTTCCAGGTTGTATATCTGTTAAAAAAAAAAAGAAAATATATCAATTATTTGTAACCGAGGAAAGATAAACAGTTACATTGTCTTTGTTACGTTACATCATGACGATTAAAATCTTACTTGATTTATTGATTGATTCAACCAACGTATGACTGTTTTCCGTGACCACTTGATTAATTGCCAAAGATTGATTCTCAACTGCGACGACCGAATTATCGTCGAATATCAAACCAGGCTGATCGGCGATCTCATCGTCAAAATATTCTTTTCCCTCTGACAAACTGAGCGAGTTGGAGGCATTAGTAGGCGTACCAGGACTGTCGTCGTCTATGGTATTCCCAGATCGTTCCATGACACATTCCTTCTTCGACACTTTGTCATCGGATTGCGTAATACTGGCTGTAGGACTGTCGAAAAGACTATCAACCGGTGATGTTTCGTCGTCTATTAATGCAGTTGAGGTAGCAGCAGCAGCTGCAAATGCAGGATCCTCGATGGTAAGAAGAACGGAACGAAGAGTACTTTTCGGTAAATTCCCATTCTTAGCCGCATCTGATATGGTCTTTATGTGCTGAGTAGAGTTCGAATTGGAACGTTGACACTCGTCGCTCGAGCTCAACGAGTATTCGTCTGCCATTGCTTCCCCGTGGCCATATTCGGGATCGTCCGAACTAGGCAAACTAAAGTCCGACTTAATGGAAGGTATTTTCTCGGTACGAGATCTGTCTTTGTAAACCTTCTCTTCGCCCAGACCCTCATCATATCCCTCCGAGGAAGTAGTTGACATCGACGTTATGGAACTCGTGTACCTATTGTCCTTATTCACGATTCTTTGATACTGCGTTGTTCTCTCACGTACCAGGCCGGTATTTAAATTAGGACTCGCAAAGCACTTTGGCAACGGTATAACAGATATTTCGGTGACGGTGCTGTCGTCATCCCCAACATCTCTAACGTCAAAGCTTTTCCCACTGACTACCATTTTTAAATTTCTGGCTCGGCCAAACCCTCTTCTACCTGTCGTAGCGCCATCCAAATAATCATAACCTTCGGCCCTTTCGCTTTCACCTGGACAACTTTGATGGCTACTCACACCAGAATCTTCTGTACCTGAGCCTTCCTTCGAGCTAGCCGAGCTCTTTGAACCAGTTGATATTTTTCTACTTTGATTAGCGACGGTCTTTGCGGTTTTCGAATTCGTCTCGTTCATTCTTACCGCGTACTGAGGAAGCGGTAGATGGCTTGCATGTAACGTGTATCTTGTTACTGACTCGGGAATGCCAGAGACTCTTCGATTGACATCGCTATTGATGGCATTATTGTTGCCGCTGTTGTGCGACGAGGGTGCTCGTAGCTTCGATCCTGCAGCTACGTTATAAACCTTTGGAAAAAAGAATATTTTCAGCTTTTCATCCGTTATTAAATACTCGAGTAAATCGATCAAATAAAAACGATCCAAACCTGTACAACTCTGTTCTGTTGTTTAGGAACGTGACTGTCGTGCTGCTGATGTTGTTGCTGTTGTTGGTGATGTTGCTGTTGTTGTTGTTGTTGTTGTTGATGGTGGTGATGGTGTTGTTGATGCTGTTGAAATCTTTCCTGATTGTAGTGACTAACGCTATGACTATTGCAAATGTCACCGACCTTATTTGTGTATCTGCCCTGTGCTTGCCTGTACCCAAAACGATTTGTTCTGGTCGATACGCCGGTAGCTTCCTTTTTCGGCGGTGCCAGTCGTGGCGTTGATCTTCCGGATGACGAGTTTTGAACGACCTGGTAATTAACATCGTCGTCGCGTCTACGAGTTTGCTCTGGACCGGCTGACTTAGATCGTGGGTGTAATAGAGTTAGGTCCGTCGCATAGTTTGTTATCGGTATCGGGATTCCGGTGGTAGGTCTTCTACGAAAGCCGAACGACATTGCAGTACCCCGCGTGCACGGAGTGCCACGTTTCGATGCACCCTTATTGTCATTCTGAAACGAAAGCGTCCATTTGGGATCGGAAAATTTGCATTGCATAGAAAATGATCTTCTTCCTATTAGATAGAAATTAGTTTGAGATACTTTATGAAAAGTTCTTTATATTTTATATTGTTAAAAGTAATAAAAGAAATGGGAAATATAACAAACAAAATTCAAACGTAACGTTAGAGCTTTACATTCGGCTCGTTCGTGTTAAAGGCGCTGATAATGGTCGAATTAATTTGTACAGGTAAATAAATATGTGCATTGTGTTCGACAAAGCTTATCGAACCGTAGTGTTAGTTCGTTTTGTCAAAGTGTAAAATAGTTATCCAAAAAATCGTGTTACGGAGACGAGCCAACCCCACACAGAAACTCCAGAAATAGAGTATCCATTCGCGACTCCGTTTCAACGAACTAGATGAAAGTTTCTGTCGAGTGTCTCTCCCGGAGCTCATGAATTTCGTGGAGTATGTATTCGTAATCGAAAACTGAAATGACTTCATCGTGAAAAGCATCGTCATATTCGAACTATCGATCGAGATGGAAACTGCGTCAAACAATTCTTTTTGTTGTACGATTAGATAACGCATCGAAACGTACATTTTTATGTTATGTTTTTCTTGTTATTAAGAAAGAAATATTTCAGAAGAAGCCGATCATCTTGTGTAGTGTGCACATAACAGTTAGAATTGTAATGTCGCGCATGCGTGCTAAGCGCGATTAGTCACTCGGTGAAAGAAAAAAAAAAGAAGGGAAAGAATTGCAATCGCATAAGAATTACGTGCAATGAATGTTCAATATTTTAGAGACTCGCTTCTTTCCATTATCACATTCACAACATTCTCAAAGTGCACATTTGTGAAATATGTCATTTTTTTTCTTTTTGATGGTTTTTTTTTTTCTTTTATTATTGGTTTTATTTTTAATATTTTTAGAGCAAAACGAACACACACGCTGATAGGAAGAGCGCTTCTCCTTACCGCAGTGGCTCCGAACAACCCTTTCTCGTTCTCCAGGACATCATCGTCGTATCTCGTGCCGGTGGCGCACCGATAATCCATTTTCGATGACTCGATGTCTCCGAGACTTTCCAAAGATCGGTCTTACGATCGATCGATACACCGAATAACGTGTTATCTGTATTTCTCCCCTCTCTCTCTCTCTCTCTCTCTCTCTTTTTCTATTTCTTACTCGTCTTTTCCTAGAGCAGCAATCACGTCATTCCACGCCAATGTAGTCGAAAATATTTTTAACCGGCTAATGTGTGAAGAAGAAAAGTTGGCTTCTACGATACGATTTGTATGAACTTTTCTATGAACGAATTCTTTTATCTCTATTAGTATTTCTATCTTTTTTTACTACCCTTAATTTGATCCTCTCTCTTTCTCTTTACGTCTTCGCGAACGCATCACGTCGCACGATGAAGACGCTTCTCCTCCTCGTCGTCGTCGTTATTGGTATGATTCTTATTGTTATCGTACATTTTCACGTTCCCTTCTTGTTCCTTCGTCGTCGTCGTCGTCGTCGTCGGCGTCGCCGTTATCGTCTCCGTTGTTGGTTTACCGTCCCTCTCACTCCAGCATTCTCTTCTCTCTCACGTCGGAAAGAGAAAACTTAGGACGAAACGGACATCGGATCGATCCGGTAAACTGCGCCGGCGTCGCGACGCCACTGCACAGTGTCTTTGCCAGTGTGGAGAGCACGTCGAGCACTCGATTTTGCGGGTGTGTCCGTGTACTCTCTCTGTCTCTCTCTCTCTTTCTCTCTCTCTCTATCTATCTATCTCTTTTACTTCCCTCTCTCTTCTAGATTTTAGTGCTATACTTAGGACTCGCACGTGCGAAGACGTACTTCTTCCTTTTTCTTTTTATTTTGTCTTCTTCTTTAATTCTTCGCCCCCGGAATCTCGAATCTTACGGTGGCCGGAGTGACACTTGTTTCTCTCTGTAACGATCGCTTAGTATCTCTACCAGCCTATTTCTATCCTCGACGCCCACCCTCCACCCTCGCTACCGTGATTCTTTTTCATAAGGGACGCGCGTAGCTCTCCCTCTCTCTCTCCCCCCCCCTCTCCTCATGCATACTAGAGAATTTCATAGAAATCATTCTATTCGAAAGACTCACTTTCAAGATATGTATATTGAAATAATTTGCTCGATATAATCGAAGGATTAAAGGCTATTTAACTTGTATTTTATCTCTTCTTTCCAGTAGCGAGCGTGCGCATGCTAGCCATCATCGACCTCGCTGCCCTTTTCACGCTCGATTCCTTCCTTTTACGGATTAAGACAAAGTACGAGGTCAAGGGTACGGTCTTGAATGATCTTGAAAGAAACAATCCTTTCTTCTTGAAGATACTTCCGTTGAGGAAGAAAAAACAAAGAAAAAAACGAAAAATATCGATATCGATTTGACGAAAGAAAGAAGTGATTTTTTGATCTTTTAACATTTTTAAATTTCCTGCCTTTTGACGTTGGAGCGTTAAAAAAGAGCGACCAATCATAGGCATATACCTACATATAAGTATGTATACTCGTCGTTTTGTGTGCACCTTGCTCGAGACTGAGCGAACCCAGGCACCACTATGTTTCTCTCCCTTTCTCTCTGCAGCTTCCGGCAGGTATTCTAGAGTCAGGGAGCATAATACAAATACAATGGAAAGTAGACGGACTCGGTGAAGATAGGAATCGGCTTCCATTCAAGTAGCATCCATCGTGGATTCGCGAGGAATTAATTGAAAAAAATATTTTTAATGAAACGAATCATCTCATGAATTTGCACGATCTTTAGCCAAAATTTCATTATTATTTTCAATCGAATGAAGAAATAAAGAAATAAAGAAATAAAGAAATGAAACTGTGTTCTTTATCAACATAAATATCTTTGTGAGAAACCGTTTGAGATAACAAGCAATCGCCTTTTTTCCTATCTGATGACGAACCAAGAATGAGAATAAAATGATCTAATGCGATTAATCTAGTAGCGTAAGTGTTTTTCACAGCACACGATAGAAGTACATACACATACATAGATGAATAAACCAGACATTTACGACGGCACGCGCGACACGAGAACCACGAGACGATGGTTTTGTGCGTTTGGAACTTGAGACGAGCTATGAAGTTAAATAGTAAAGACTAGACACAAGTAGTATACCTTATAATTCGCATCTTATTCAACTAGATTTTAATTATGGGATCGATATTTCCTTTACAAGTTTTTTATCAACAATCTGTGCTTTCTAAAGAAAAAAAATAAAAAAAGAATGATAAACCGATATGATGTCATTTACATTGAAAATGTGTGTAATTTTTCGAGGAATGAATTTAACGTGAATGAAGAAAAATTATTCTGAATGAATAATAATTTAGAGAGAGAACGAAACACGCATATTCTTCATGATTCTAAGCAAGTACGCGTACTCGCGATTTCAATGACGTAACATTAATGTAACTTGTAATAACAGAAATTTATGTTATACCTAGTTATGTCGTACATTGTGACGATAACACATAATAGTAAAATGGACCTCCTACGCGCAAACGTGCGTCAACGCGATTGAATCTGAATATTGAATCTAGATAAATTATATTTTTACAGAACAAAGTTTGCCAACATCGAATTGAGGAAATATAGGGAAAGTTTCTCATGGTTGTGAATCGAACCGACAAGAGAATGATAAAATGAAGCGTGAGACTGTCTTTTGACGTTAAATCTCTACAAAATACCTTTCTACTTTCGTAAAAAAGTGAGGATGATTCGTATAAGATAAGCGACTTGATGTTTACGCCAATGTTTAGAATTACTGAATGGAATATAACTGAAAAGTATGTGGGCACGTAGTACAGTAAAAATAACTTGGATATTATATAATATTACAAGAATGTTTTTGGAGATTAAAGTAGATAACTGCAGAGTCTTTCAAACGTAAGATCAAGTTATTTTTGCTTAAAGGTTTACAAAAAAGTTTTCTCTAAAAAAAAAAAAAAAAAAAAAAAAAAAGAAAAAGAAATATTGAATTCGGAGAAAGAATTCTTTTTTATGATTTTCGAAGTCAGAATTCGTGGTCGATGTTATTTAAGCGGCAACACCAAAGCGCAGTTCGGTACACGTGAAAGTACCGGTACGAAGAAGCGATACGTTCAATAAAAAGATCCTTTTACCGATCGCGAGCGGAACGTGCGAAAGCAATGTATGAGAAATCCTCGCGTGGAGTCGACGAACGCAATTTGAGGTCAACAAAATAATCGAGAGAGAGAAAGAGAAAGAGAAAGAGAAAGAAAAAGATAGATAGATAGATAGATAGAGAGAGAGAGAGAGAGAGAGAGAGAGAGAGAGAGAGAGAGAGAGAGAGAGAGAGAGAGAGAGAGAGAGAGAGAGAGAGAGACAATAGGTAAAGAAATTGTGAATGGGAACGGAGGACTATGATCGTACGATAATAGAAAGGATTCCAATGGGAGAAGGAAGAAATTAATAATTAATTTACAATTATTAATCGTTAATATGTGCATAGTTATCCGAGATTGAAAAATCTTGATAATTATCTGTAAAAAAGAATAAAACAAAAGGAATAAAATCGTGGAGCTTTTACCTGAATTTTCGCGGATTTCTCCATAATTCTATAGGAGGGCGAATCGTGATGGCCGGATGCTGCGATGACGGCGCCCGCCTTACGCGACACGCATTGCCCCATGTAAGATCGCCAACTTCGAGCCAGCACAATCTAAATTTACGAAATTTCGTTTAATTATTATCCATATGTTCGAAACACATGTCACAGATAGTAAGGTATTTTTTTTGAAACATTGCTAAAAGCATCATCACTTAGTACTTTGTATGTTAATTTATAGCCAAGAGTTTCGAGTTAACTACACTAATCAACTTTGTTATCAATTTTACTTAAAAATGTCCATTTTGAATATCGATGGTTGAGATATTGGGGATGTTATAATTGATGATTACCAAGCTGTAAAAAGATATTATGCTGAGAATTATTAAAGCGCATTAATCCTCAAAATAATGGCCACCAGAATTAGGATCCATCACCATTTTTACCTATGGACGATAAAAAATAAACGTGCTCGTACAAAAGTGAAATTGAATAACTACAAAAGTCACACATAAATCTTTATAAATTCTTCGTTTTTTTTTTTTTTTTTTTTTTTTTTATCTATTCAACTTCGTATTCTCGTTTCCTTGTCTTTCTCTCTTCAACTTTTGCTAAACTGATTAGATACTTTCATTTAACTGACATCAGTGGAAACATTTAATCAACGTACGTGCTCATAGCTGTACTGCACTTATCGATAAAAGTTTGTATTGTACTACATAATTGAAAAACGAATGAATTTGCACAAAAAAAAATAATTTTCCACGTGACAATTTTACGCCATTACTATTATATCGTTATATCTATTTCAATTCTATTATATCTATTTAAAATCATTTTATATGGTATGTAAGAGAAAATGACAATTAAAGGAGAGTTAAAAGTCGATTTCGAATTCGTGAATGCTCCACTTGTATATATGCGAGCAAGTGCAACTTGTGTGCCATACCGTACTCGTGCGGAAAATTCACTCCTCTGCAATTCGAAAAAGCGAAAGTAACGAATAACAGAAAGAAAAAAAGAAGAAGAGAATAAAAGTATATCTCGGACGTGATTTTGTCGAGAGAAAAGTGATGAAAAATCAATTTCCAAATCCTTGTACACATGCACCTTAAACCATGTACGATTAGATAGATATTATGTAGATTATCCGCAATCACGCCTACATCATATTCTACGTTATATACACCGTGTCACGCCAAATCCATACTTCCTTACTCACACAAAAGAAACTCCGTGTTGTTCGATCTCTCGGCTGGCGAAGGATTCTTTGAAAAATGCTGAAAAGAAGAAAGACATTTCTGTGTCTACGTTCATAACGAGCTGTTAAGATTTTGCTATGGCAAGTCACGCGTTTCCTCTTCGTTCAAGAGGATTCCTTAAGTACAGGAATATCTTCTCATCGACAGTCCTCTTTATATTAGAATTGCCTTGCCCATCCTCCTGCCCCTCGATCGCATCGGGACCACTTCTTTCTTTTGAGCTTTGTCAAAAGATTTTAAAGTATTCGAGGAGTAAGCGACGTTACTTTCGATCAATCCGTACAAATAGCTCATAGCAATGACGATTGCGAAGTAATGTATAAGACTAAACATGAATATCATCAATAGATAGAAGGTTTACTCACCTCTTCTCACGCAATTGAATCTCCCGGGTAGCGATCCGTATGAACTCGTGGTATGCATCATAAAACTCAACGCGAGGACAGCTACAAACGACGCACTGATCCCGCCAACATGTCACCACACCATGGATCGTTCGATTTAGATCCTTTCGGACTTAATGTCAAACTCTTTGATTCGTTAGAATCAAAAGGATTTATCGTACTCGGCCGATTCGCGTTACGTACCGTACCTTCGAGAGTCGAGCAGACCGAACACCACCTGTCATTTAGATATATTCGATAGTATGGGACATGCGTCGTGATGTCATTCACGCTCGTTCCAATTCGGCTTAGCTCGGTTTTCATTCGGTTTTATCCGACGGAACTCGGTAAGATTCGCCACCATCACCCAAAACCTCCGAAATATGATACGCCGTATCGATGATAGATGGAGCACCAATCACATTTCTCGATTGTAACACCTCCCTGGTGGATAATTTCCCAATTAATAGTTCTCTTCGATTGCTCGAAAGGTTACTCATCTCGATTGATATTACGATTATATGGTTCGCACATGCTTTTTATCAGTGGCTCGATGCTTTTATGGTTATAAATTATACATATTACGTTATATTACAGAGAATATGGCTTGTATAATTTTTTATTGAAAATATATTTCAGGTGGCATTGAAATTCAACGTTCAACGGCGACGTTCGACAGTGTCATATATTTCAATGATATTTTTAACCGCCGGTGAATAATCCATATAGATATAAGGTTAATCGGATACTTTGACTCGATCGTTAACATTGACTCAAGAAACTCTTGCCAAAATATGCAAAACGATTCAAGTGCTCCAACTGCAATCGTTCAAAGAGAGGAAGACCGAAAGCCAGTCATTATTTTTGGACGCAATATCGCAGAAATTCCTTGTTTCAGAAATAGTTTTCTATACGGTATCTCCAGTGGTATCGGAGGTGGATTGTTAGCATTTTTATTTACAAGTCGTCCCAAACTTGCTATGCATTGCACAATGGCTACATATTTCAATGTAACAATAGGTTATTGGTTTTATTGTCGTTATACTAGAGATCTGGATCATTTTAATGCTATCCGAATGCAAGATATATTTCAAAATGCCGCTGTGTTGGAAGGTACGGAAGAGGGGCCAGAAATTGTAATAGATAAAGAACTAGTTGATGTTTAGATATCATTTATTAATTTTGTATATACTAGTTAAATATACCAAGTTTATGTTACAATTTATTACTCGTTGCTTACCATAATCGAGCGCACGTATGTATATGTACGTTCGAAATGTATAATATAAAAGTAGGAAAACATTCTCTGTATGTGTATATATATACGCGTGAATATGACGTCGAATATTTTCAATCTCGGATCTTCGATCGATCGACGAAACTTTTGTATAGGTTTTTACTATGCTTCATGTATTCTTTACACGCTTGTATATAGTTTTAAATCTTATATCATCATGTGTATCATCATACATTTATAAGTTCGATTAACAACAATAATATTGATTTTTTCCTGTTTTTATAAATGACTCAATAACAATTTAATAAAAATAATAACGTATTAGCATTTGTAAACACATTTCCTGTTAAGAGTAATGACATGTAAATACGACCTTGGAAGGACCTTTAACAATAATATTAAAGAGTATGTTACTAATTCTTATTCCCCGTCATCTTTGAGAACGAGAAAGTGGTTTCATTCGGCTCGAGCATATAAATCGTATAAATTATCGATACAGTTGTAGACAAAATATATTAAAAGTTTTTAATTGGGAACAATGTCGCAGAACGATACGAGCGAAGATGAGACCGGTTTACGAACTCCGATGTTCCTGAGGAAAGGATCTAGATGTAGTCGTGGTACACCAGGTATTATAATGGAACAAAAATATTGAAAAGCAATATTGGTATAATTGTTTTTCCTATTTTATTCAGGCACACCGTCTTCTATTTCAAGCTCTGTTATATTTGGTCCAATTCCGGACGAAGTTCTACGTGTTTGGAGTCAATTACCCGAAGCAATTCGTTTAGATCCTAGCTTAGCAATTTTTCAAAAAGAATACGATAGGATTTATCAAACCGACAGAAGGTTTATATCTAACTTGACGTATTTATATATATATATATATATATCAAAGTAATTGTATATATACATATATATGTTCTATTTTCTTTTTTTTTTTATTATTCGTCTTTTTTATCACCATATTTGTTAGATGCTCCGATACAAAAAGAGATTGTTTAGTAGTAAATATGTCTCTTGGTACACAATCGGCACCACCCATAAGGTGTTTATATTTATTTTATAATTGTAATTTGACTTATTATTATCAAACACGGAAATCACTTAGAAATCTTTTTTCAACCAGAACGCAACAAAATATTTGCGAAGAGGATGGCACGCACGATATTACACAAGACCAAGCGCATGAAAAACAAAAGCCATTTTATCGTTATAGCAAATTAATAGCTCTTTCTTGTTGCTGGCTAATATTTACTGTAAGCATTTTAAACAGATATTTATTATTTTTACTCGCGACATATATATAAAACATTATAGGTGATATTAATGGTCAAGAACGAGAAAGTCGAAAAAATGCATCAGATTTCTATTCCCAGCAACGAAATTCGACGTATCCTTTACCATGATAATAAACTTTTGTTCCATCTTTATATCGATTATTTCGTAGATAAATTATAATACTGTGGCTTTCTTTAAACTTATTTATAAACAGATTATAAATTGCAAGGTTTAGTCGAAAGTAAGCGCATCAGCATCAGAGTAGAAGGTTCATTACTGCCTCCAATTAAAGAAAATCTTAATTTAAATTTATCAAGTCATCATTTAACAATATGGTTGAGTTCATTAATCAACGATTCGACTAGTCTACATAAATATAATATCCATTCAGAGGTAATGAATTCATATATGAATATTACTTTAATAAAAAACATTTAAATAAATAAGTAATATAAAATATAAGTATTCGGGAAAGTATAACATATTAAAATAATTTTCAGAATATAAGCGATTCTTGGATTTTACCTGTACTTCCTGAAAATTTAATGGATTTGTTTCCTGATCAAAAGCATCAAAAAGTCTTTGAATTAGATAATGTTGATAAAGAATTAGTAGAAAATGCAATATTTATAAATTTACATACAAATTTAAAACATAGTTTTCCACTTTCAATTGCATATGATTTATCTTCGATAAATACGGACGATGGTATACCGTACGCTGCGATTGTTTTATTTGGTCTATATGTATTGATAGTATTTGAGGTAAAACAATTGTATAGATTTAACACATCAAATATATATCCAATAATACAAATATCTAAAAGGACTTATTACATCTATTTTATACTTTTAGATCGTTCACAGAGCTTTGGCTGCAATGCTAGCATCGACTATGTCTGTGGCAATATTAGCTGCATTTAATGAGGTATCTGTTATGCTTATCTATTTAATGTAAATTCTTTTATTTCTACTTTTTATTTTCTTTCTAATATCACTAGAGACCAAATATGACAGAATTAATTTCTTGGATTGATGTAGATACATTACTACTATTATTTTCCATGATGGTTCTTGTTGCAATTGTCGCAGAAACAGGAATATTCGATTGGTTAGCTGTTTATGCTTACAGGGTATAATAATAACGTAAATTATATTATAAAAAATACGCTTTTTCTTTATGCTTCCATAATCGATAATATCTTTAGATAACTGGAGGTAAATTATGGCCATTAGTAAATACTTTATGTTTCTTTACCACATTCATCTCATCATTTTTGGATAATGTTACAACAGTACTATTAATGACTCCAGTTACGATCAGACTCTGCGAAGTAATGGAATTAAATCCAGTACCTATATTAACAGCAATGGTAGTTTATTCCAATATAGGTGGTGCCATTACACCAGTAGGTGACCCACCAAACGTTATCATTGCCTCTAATCGTGATGTTATTGATGCTGTGAGTGTCATTAGCTCATATAATGTATCATAATGATTGGATTATTATCGTATATTAAATATTATTATCATATCATTTAACTTGTTATCAGGGAGTAGATTTTAGTACATTTACATTACATATGAGCATTGGAGTAATATTAGTATTGATTGTGGTGTATGCTCAATTGCGTTTCATTTTTCGTGATAAAGCAGTTTTAAGTTTCGATGAACCACAAGATGTACAGGTAAAAATGTTCTTCCGGTATATTATTTTAGGAAACGTATAGATTTTTCTATGCATGAAATATTTTTCTAGGAACTCAGACATGAGATAGCAATTTGGCAAAGAGCTGCGGCAAGTCTATCGAGTTATAGTAAAGATGAAAATTTAGTAAGAGAAACTTTATTAAAGAAAGTACAACGTTTACTTACGCAACTTAAAAAAAAGTTAATGACTGGTAGTGTTGCTTTCGAAAAGTATAAAACTACACTCGAAGAACTACAGGAAAAAGTATTTCAGCGTCATTATACATAACAAATACAGATATTAAAATTATCATTTTTTAATTAATAAAATTTGTATATTTTAGTATCCCATAAGAGACAAGTGGTTGTTAGTCAAATCAGGATTTGCATTAGTGTTCGTTATTACGTTATTTTTCCTTCATAGTGTACCTGGTATGAATTTATCATTAGGCTGGACTGCATTACTAGGAGTACTTTTATTACTAATATTAGCAGACAGTGAAGATTTGGATGGACTAATGGCTAGAGTTGAATGGAGCACTTTATTATTCTTTGCTTCATTGTTTATACTTATGGAAGTGAGGAAAAAAAATTATATTAAGTAGCATTGGTATACACTAGTTTGTATTAATGTATAATCAATTCTGCTATTATCATAGGCTTTGTCACGTTTGGGTCTTATTGCCTGGATAGGAAAGCAAACAGAAAAAATTATTCTATCTGTTAATGAAGAATCTCGTTTGGCTGTAGCTATACTTTTAATCTTGTGGGTATCGGCATTTGCAAGCGCATTTGTTGATAATGTACCTTTGAGCACAATGATGGTAAGAATTGCAATAAATTTAGCTAAAAATCATGAGCTTAGATTACCTCTGCAACCTTTAATTTGGGCATTAGCTTTTGGTGCTTGCATGGGAGGTAAGCAGATTTCCAATTATATATTTTCTTATTCATTATATTACTGGTATTTATTTGGTTGAATGGACGGTTGTGGTATTTACAGGAAATGGAACTTTAATTGGAGCTACTGCAAATGTTGTCTGCGCAGGAGTAGCTGAACAGCATGGATATAGATTCACTTTTATGCAATTTTTAAAGTAATCTTCTTTTTTAATAATCGCCCCTTATCATCAGCTATTATTATATAACATTTTTTTCTTAATATTATTATACGATATTATTCAACATGATTGATTAAAAAAACAGCTGATAATACAGCAGATCTTTTAACTGACGCAAGTAATGTTGTTATATGACTCGAATGTTTGTTTTTCTTTTTTTCTTTTCTTTTTTTTTCAGAGTTGGCTTTCCTGTGATGATCACAAGCACTATGACAGTAACTATGTACCTAATGATCTCCCATGTTATTTTTGCTTGGAATGGAATATAAATGTTCTCCTTTTTAGTACGAAGAAATATAACTTCAATCTATACTTGTTCATAATTGTACTACTATAAGTACTTTAATGGTTTAATGTTTTTGTAACAAACATTCTTTGCATCAGGATATGCTTAATGCAAAAAATCATATAAAAAAAATATATGAATATTTTTAATAAAATTAAGTAATTCTCTAGAGAAAATAAATATTTTATATATTGATAATAATTATCATTTAAGAAAATATTTGACTTTTGTTAACTCGATTTTTCCAATATCTAGCAGCTTTAAGAATTAGTTGAAAATATAAATGAATATACTCTTAATCTTATAATTATCGACAATGTTGACCAACGATGGCTTATCATTGCACAATAAAAACATGTTACTATTTATAAATATGTTTGTGCGTATAAAAAACGGCAATGCATAATAGAAAAGATCAATAACGATTATGAAGCCATATATTTCTTAATATAAGAAAATATTGAATATTACATATGTCAAAGATTTTATAGAAACGCGCCATAAGTTGAAATCACTCTATTGATAATCGACAATTCATACCGTTGTCAAATCGTATAGTAAACAAAACAGAGTACGTTAATGAGAATTACCTACTGCATTATGTATTTGAATGTTTATTAAATAATAAAAAATCAGTGCACTTTTATAATAATTGATATTTTTAGTAAAAAGTTAAACGATTTTTATGATCAACATGCCTGTCGATCAAATTCAGTATTCCGAAAGATACACCGATGATAATTATGAGTATAGGTTAAGTTCATTGATTTAATATGCTCATAATATTGTGTTTATTTCATTAATTTGTTTAAAATGTTTTAACAATACGTTTTAATTATAGGCATGTAATTCTTCCAATTGATTTAGCAAAACATGTACCTAAAACACACTTGATGTCAGAAACTGAATGGCGTAATTTAGGCGTTCAGCAAAGTCCTAGGTGGGTTCATTATATGATGCATAGTCCAGGTATGTTACTTAGATGCATAAGTATATTTATTACATATTATATAATTTATTAATAATTTTTAAAAATTATAAGGATTATTGTGTTTGACAGAACCACATGTCTTGCTTTTTCGTCGGCCAAGAATTCAGAGAGGAAAACGTGTAATGTAATAAACTAATTTTTATGTAAACAAATGTGTCATCGATATACTTATTTTTAGAGAATATATATATATATATATATATATATATATATATATATATATATATATAAATAAATATGTTGTGTCTGTATATATTGTATAGAAATAAGTAGTTATCTTGTAAATCATCGTGCAAATAATTATAATCATGATTTTTATAATATGAATTGATGGTTTTTTATATTTTATAGTGATAAACGTTTGATGATTGATGTAGGTTTTTTGTTCTTATAAATAATACATTAAAATTACAATGCATTACTTTCTATAATTTTTATTAAATTTTTATTAACATCTTCATTTTCGAATGCGTAATAAATATTTTGCATTTACTATGATTTTAGATAAAGTACACGCACATAGTCAATACGTGTATCTATGTACGATATATGCATGATACTCATATCGCGCAATGTCGTTAACAAGAGTTTACATCGTACAAGCAGGAAAAATTAAATATGGATAGGCAATAAATAATTATCATCTTCCCATTTATCTAATATAATATTAATTCTATGCTTTAAACAGTTCACTAATTTATTTTCATGCGTTATTAAAGAGGAGCTTTTTCAACAAGCTTAAACCAATATCCACATTCACAACGTCGTGGAGTTCCTTCGTGTAACCACATCCAGTTTATATGCGATTGATCTTCTTCGCAAATACATCCAACTATACGACTGTTAAATGCACTTGGCACCAGATTTGGACATTCTTTTGTACCAGGTCCCCGTTTTGTAACTTTCAAGTTAAAAGGATCCTGAGAATACAATAAATAATCTACTTTAAGGAATATCAAAACAATGAATACGATTTTAATAATAAATAATCCAAAATAATGTTGATACAAATAATATGGTTAATGATATAATACATCATTAAAATTATAAAATACAAAATGAAAATTGTTGGAATCATATAATATTAGTTAGTGCAAGGAGTTGATTTAAGTAAGGTAAAAACTTACATCGTCACCAGCAGCTTTAGCAAGTAATTCTCGTTTTTCTATTCCTGTTGCATGTTCCAATGGATCAGCACCTGCAAATAATGAATTGTACTATATCTGCATTCTCGTAGAAGAAGACAGTAAAAGTTAATAATTTAAGAATGCTCAATATATTACGTAATTTGAAGATATCTCAGTAGATAGAGTATAATCACTTTTTAATTGAAGAATAGATTTAAATGTATTACCATCTTTTAAATATCTTGGTGCACTGTAAGATATCGACCGTCGACATGAAAGTAAAACCGCACGCCCATAAGAACATGCCATTTTGTAGATCTCGGCCAAATCGTACCGTATACTCACTCTTCTATTCTATTCCTTTCGCCGAAAATGAACGATTTGGGACAAATGCGTAATAAAAAAGATTGGTCGCTCCACATGTCATAAGGTGAGCTACGGTAGCGCTTTGACGTAGGTGAATTGAACTATGGACGATCGATTGTAAGTTAACCTCTGCAAGCTCGTCTGTGAAAAAAGGCGCCAATTTGAAATTGAACATTCGTTTAAAACCACCGTATAGAGACGTTGCGTTAAAAACGCGGGAAAAATAATGGCGTTTCTTTATCCATGGAAAAGTTCGTTAAATCTCAAAAGAAAATAAATATCTGTTTTGCATAATTTTGAATTTGGATCTAAGTAATAGAAAATACAGTTTCTTTTCTATCAGTTGGACGTTCTATCGCATATTATTTACAGAGCTTTACCCTTCTGTCACATGAAACACCGATGCACCAACTATACGTCTTCTGTGTAACTTGCGCCAGTGAGCGACGGTGAGCGGCTCTTCGGACGATTGGTAAAAAAGAATTTTAGAATAATTTTAAGTGTGTTTATACGGTTTAATTCTTATTTAATATAATAATCGAGCTATGATAATAACAAATTATATTCCGATAGGGAATATCAAATAACGAGCAACATTATATTCATTTGAAATTTGCGCGTAGTTATAAACCGATTTAAGATAATATTATTATAGATGTTTAATCAATTTCCGATCCTTCGAAGCTGAATGATAATCTTCTACGATCGGACGTATTTGTATTTATATAAAAAGATATTTTAATAGTTTCACGTGAATCTTAAGAGAAAAGAGGAAAATATTTTCTTTTAAAATGGACAAACCAGTTTCCTCGGATATCGTTTTAATAGCGGGCAATTCACATCCAGAATTGGCTAATCTAATCGCTAAGTAAGTTCTACTTAAATCTTAATTACATTTCCATTCTTTTACGTAAGAAGAGATAATTATCTCTTTTCTCTTCTCATTAACTAAACTGTTTTAATATATTGGTTAATGAACATTCTATGATTGTCAAGTATATATTCTTCTATTTACAATTTGACAAACAAAAGTTGTTACATTAAAGTTTATATTGATGTACTTTTTATATTTAAAGTCGCCTTGGCGTAAAGCATGGTGGATGTTCCGTATATCATAAATCAAACCGTGAAACTATGGTTGAAATAAGTGATTCCGTACGAGGTAAAGATCTGTATATAATTCAGACTGGTACAAAAGATGTTAATAATAATATAATGGAGCTCCTCATCATGGCATATGCCTGTAAAACGTCATCGGCAAAAAATATTGTCGGCGTAATTCCTTATTTACCTTATTCTAAACAATGCAAGATGCGTAAGCGTGGATGTATAGTTTCAAAACTCTTAGCAAAGATGTTATGCAAAAGTGGTTTAACACATATTATTACTATGGACTTACATCAAAAAGAAATCCAAGGATTTTTTGATGTTCCTGTAGATAATTTAAGAGCCAGTCCATTTTTATTACAATATATTCAAGAGTCTGTGAGTATAGCTTTTATTGATTTGAATATTTCTTGTAACTTAATTACTTAATTCTTCCCTTTTATATTGGATCAACATAATTATGAGACATTAATCATTTATGTCCTGTTATTAGATACCTGATTATCACAATTCTGTAATCGTTGCAAGAAATCCAGGAAGCGCAAAAAAGGCAACTAGTTATGCAGAAAGATTGCGTTTAGGAATAGCAGTTATACACGGAGAACAAAGAGAAGCTGAATCAGATATGAATGATGGACGTTATTCTCCTCCAGCGTTAGCCTCAAGAACAATGGAGGTTGGTGTAGGTGTGCCTATGCATCCTGCCAAAGAAAAGCCTCCGATCAATGTTGTAGGAGATGTCGGAGGACGCATTGCCATTATGGTGGTAAGGAGATATTCAAGAAAAATTAATACTCATATGTACTTGACTTTTTTCTTATATAATTAATTATTTATTGTAATTTAATTTAGGATGATATGATAGATGATGTACAATCCTATGTAGCAGCGGCTGAAGTACTTAAGGAAAGGGGTGCATATAAAATCTATGTATTAGCTACTCATGGTTTACTTAGTTCGGATGCACCAAGACTTATCGAAGAGTCACCAATTGATGAGGTAATGCGTTACCTATATATTTAATTTTAGCAAAGTTAAATTATATATTAATAGGTAATGCGTTACCTATATATTTAATTTTAGCAAAGTTAAATTATATATTAATATAACATTTACTTTGATCAAAACTTGTATATATTGGATTTTTATACTTTTCCCAGGTTGTTGTGACCAACACTGTACCTCATGATGTACAAAAAATGCAATGTCCAAAAATCAAAACTGTTGATATAAGCATTTTATTAGCTGAAGCTATTCGACGTATTCACAATAAAGAATCAATGTCTTATTTGTTTAAAAATGTTACATTAGAAGATTGAAAATATGTTGATAATATGTATGATTTACAGTAAATCTAAATTTAGCAAACATAAAATTCAATTTCAATTAAATGGCTGAATTCTTCATATTATTCAGTATTGAGATAACATAAAACATATCTATGTCTTAATTGTGCATAATATTTTTATAACATACAGATTATTTCTTAAAAGGATAAAATATTTTAATTACCAAAAGATGTAAGTTTATTTCTTATACTTAACATTTATAAAATTTGATAAGAGCTCAATAATTATAAATTACATGGTAAAAGATATGATAACATAATTTACATTTTTGAACTTACATCATTCAATTTAAGCGAATTTCTAATCCACTATACTATCCATGATTGAAATTACTATATAGTCTTACCCATAAAATCATAATTCTTTATTTGAGCACACTATAATTTACAATGAAAATATTTTATATGAATCTAACAATTATTATTCACTTATGTAAAAGACAACAGTATTTTTATGTTTGTCATATCATTTTTATGTTGATGATGTTATTAATTTTACATTCTTAAAAATTATTATGTATTCTAGATCCAAAAATGAATAAATGTCTATTATTGAATTAAGATTTTGCGTTTAACATATAATAGCAATTTAAAGAATTAGTTTTACACAATGGACGATAAAATACATATATGATAGATATAGGAATAAAGACAACATACATATATATATATAAATATAGAGAGAGAGAAATCAGAAGTTCAATATGCATGTTCGTAACCATGGAAATAACTACTTTATATGAGATTGTATTTGTGTTCCTCGTTTGATATTTTTTCAATCATAGTTTAAAGGTGAATTTTAACAAGAGTACCGAATTAAAAACTAATAATAATATTAAAAATAAAAGGATAATATTAAAAGAAATGTCATTGGAAACTGAAGCTGGTTTAAATAGAATTTGTTTGTCATTACAAGCTGAGAATAAAGAAAGAAGAAAGGATGCTTTAAACGAAATTATAAAGACAATATTGGATAGACAAGAAATATTGGATACTGATGCTTTATCACAAATATGGGAGAATTTAAGTAGACCATTGATAAGATTATTAAATGACCAAGCAGAAGTTTGTCGAGATCGTGCTGTAGAAATATTAAATAAGTTTTTGAATATGTTGCCTTCGCATGATAAGCATATTATCTATGTGATTCCGGTGTTGTCAAGACGTTTAAGTCCGGAAGAATATATAGAACCATCAGAGGAAGTAAGGCTAAAATGTATTGTTCTCTTAAAAGTCATTATTTTAAAATATAAAGACCATATATCTGTATATATGGATGAAATAATAGGAATTCTTGCAAGAACTGTTAGGGATAATTATCCCAATGCTAAAAGAGAAAGTTGCGAGTGCATATCAGAATTAGGAAAAACTGTATCTAAGCATTTTTATACCTATTCTGAAACTCTTATAAAACCAATTTTAAGTAATTTTAGTCATCAACATTATAGAGTCAGAGTAGCTTCTGTTAAAACGATAGGCGATGTGATTCAATATGGTAATAGCAAATCTATGGAAGAAGTTGCAACGCCCTTAGCTGAAAGACTGTTTGATCAAAGCGGAATCGTTAGAGCAGGTAACATTTTAATTCATTATACATATACTATTTATAATAATTTGTTTTAATAATAATAAATCATTATTAATGACTGTGTAAAGCTGTTGTCGAAGTGGCAGGACATTGGCTTGTTGAATTAAGAGATAGATACAGTTGGTGGCACAAAATTCTTCCACTTATTTTAACGGGTCTTCATGATGAAATAGAAACAATACGTATTACAGCAGCAAAAATGTGGGATGAAGCTGGTCAATTATATATGAAAGAAAATCAAAACGATGAAAAATTTAAAGATAAAATGGACTTTCTCACAGAGGAACCTAAACATTATCCACCTAATAGTATGTTTTTATTTTGCATAAGAGATACGATAGCGTAACTTAATGTTAATTGACTTGTACTTTTTTTATTTAGTTATTAGACCAAACTTAGGATGTCGTACTATCGCTCGAGAAAATTTATGTAAACTTATAAATGGAATAACACGGGAACTTTCCGATTGGATGGCTGATATAAGAGTTCGTTCTGCACAATTACTTTGCGTCTTAATACTAAATGTAGAACAATATGTAACTCAATATATAGAAAAGTTATTACCTGCGATATATAGGTATATTTAACGTATATGATTTTACATAAAACATGATATTTCGTTTATTTGATATTTGTGATATTATTGCGTTTTCTAACAGTGCTTGTAATGATGAAGATAAAAGAGTTGTGGAGAATATAGAAATTGCAGCAAAATATTTAGGATACTTTGTACCACCACAGGTCTATTGCCATTTAGCATTGCCGACATTGGAAAACTCACCTACGGCAGGTCATCTAAGAGTATTTTCCGCCATCATAAGATGTACTGAAAAAAGTATTCTTCTACCTCATATAGAAAAAATCAGCAATTTTTTACAACAGGCACATATTTGTCGGAGCAAAAAAAGTATTTATCAGCAACAACTTTTATCTTGCTGTAATTCCCTTATAACAGTATGCAACGAGGTGTGGGTTTTTTCAGAAACTTGTCATTCATTATAATTTGTCATTCTATGTAATTGATGATACATCATAGAAGACTGATGTTGCAGGAATGTGCCCTTATTTCCCAGAATATATTTACCGTTATATTTACTAGTCTGGCTATGAGTACCGAACAGTTTATTCACAAAGAAGCAGATCGATTACTTGGTGTACTTGCAAGCATAGAATCGTTAAATGATACTGAAGATTTATTACTGCATCGTATGAAAATAATGCTAATGTCAATTTGTGATAACTGTGATTCATGGACAGTTCATAGTCCAGAACATCAAATATTTCGAACGTGTTTAATACGTGCTTCGACCGCTGCTGCTTACTGTATGAATATTGTACTACCAATACTACAGGATATTATGAACAAAAATACGGATATGGAATTGAGATTATTATATTTGATATTACTATCTGAATACTTGTTATGCAATAAGCAATCGCTTCGATGCATTGTTGATTTTCATGAATTTGTAAATCAAATTTTAGAAATATGCATTATCCCTAATCTTATTTGGTCAGCAGGTAGAATATCTGAAGCTTTACGTACAGCTTCCATTTCATGCTTATGTGCTCTTCTACAAAATGACATTCTTTCCACGCATATTAAGGATTCTATTACAATTGTAAAGGAGGAAATTAACAACAAAACGAGTGAATCTAATATCACAATATTTTCTACTGTAGAAAACTATTTATCTGTTTTCGAAAGGATTATTCCTATTTTGATTACGCTTGTTGATGATAATGCGAAAAAAACTAGGCTTTATTCTTTGCGTGCTATTTGTTTTATGATGTCAATTGGACACAAGTTGTCCTGTATAACAGAAGATCATATTCATAGAGTACATGCAATTGTATTGAAAAGATTAGATGATGGTTGTGATGATATAAGATGGGCAGCTCTAGAAGCCCTTGTAGAAATATGGTCTACTATTCCTAAAGATTACAATCTAATGTCTTGCAAAAGTTATATTGATGTTCTATATACAACGGTATTGATACACCTAGACGATCCAGAGTCAAAGTTTCAAGATTTTGTATTAGGTAAATATTATACTTTATAAAAACTTGTAATATATACCTCTTCCCAAATATTTCATATTATATCTCTTTCAGACGTATTGATGCAGTTGGCAAAAATTTATCCCGAATTGTTGGTTGAAAAGTTAAAAAATTGTCAAACAAATTTTAGAAATCAAACTGGTATACAAATACTTTTAAATCATTGTCATGAAACGTTAAAAAACAATTACTAAATATATACTGAAAGTATAATACTGTTTAAATTTTTATTGAGAATTAATGTTTAAAAAATATGTGTGATTTATACATAATAAAAAAACCTGGCACTTGAATGGAAAAAAAAAGAAAATGAAAAAAAAAGTCAAATAGAATATATGCACGCATATTTTGATTTATAATATATAAGATTTATCCAAAAAAAAAAAGTATTGTTTTTCTATATTATACTTAAACTAGATTTTATTTACAAGTAAATCCATATAAAATTCTTATTAAATTTCATTAAACTTAATACTCTTGAAATAGAAACATAACCTCTTTCTAAAAGACAACAGGAAGTACCCGCCCTCCTGTTGCCGCCATGTTGTTCGCATCTTCCGCTTGCCAAAGCCCAAAGCTCGCGAGAAGAGGGGCAGAACAAATAAGATTAATATTCGTGGCTAATACGAAATAGCCTTTTTTTTGGAAACAAATCAATCCATAGTGCTTTTCATTTGTTAAAAAATCAAATTATTCGGTAAGTGTACAAGTGTTCGAATTTAGGAGATTTGATATACTTTTCTCCAGGAGAATTATATTGCCATAGAGTATACGCTTATCAATCGAGCAAAACAGTTGATCTGCATTTTTTTTCTTTATCATTATTTTCATTTTCTATTTGTATATTTCTTTTATATATTTCAGGTCGTTTGTTATTTTATTATACAGTCATTCGGCTTTTATCATTTTAATCACTATTATTGGTACGATCATCATCAACATATGAAAAGCCGAACGATATACGTATTTTCTTTTTTAGTTCGTTAAGATCGAATTTAAGGATTCTAAAAATATTCGGTGATTCCATGATATATATTTCGTCTATGTATGTGTGTTTTTTGATTATATATGCATGTACACATACATTTACATATAACTTATATAGATTACTTAAATTCAAAGATCTTTTTATAGTATCCCTTCTTTTAATGAGTAGTCATTTATATAAATTTAACGAAGATATTATTAGCATGAAGCTTTAGAAAATTAAGAATTTTATATTCTGATAAATATATTGTATTATATTGTTAGCAATGTCTGATGCCACGACCGATCATGTGGACGCTGTGGAGGATGAATTGGAAGTTGAGTCGAATTACAAACCTCCTCCGGAAAAAACGATTGAACAAATTTTAGAGGCAGATAAGGAAGATGAAAGTTTGAGAAAATATAAAGAAACGCTGTTAGGGGAGGCCAAAGCTGGTGGAGTAATTGTTGGTATGTACTTATATGTATACGTACCTTAAGAATAATATATCAGAGATGCATATTTACATTTACAATATATTTTCATAGATCCCAACGATCCTAGAAAAGTAATAGTTAAGAAATTAGCACTTTGCGTAGCAGACCGTCCTGATATGGAATTAGATTTATCTGGTGACTTATCGCAATTAAAGAAACAAACTTTTGTTATCAAAGAAGGTGTTAGTTACAGAATTAGAATTGATTTTATTGTACAGCGTGAAATTGTACATGGATTGAAATATGTGCAGAAAACTTATCGTCTAGGTGTACCAGGTATGTTCTTTATTGCTTTATTAAATTATAAAAAAGATATACATTATTTGTACATAATAATATTAATATTATTCGTTTGTATGTGCTTTCACTGATAGGAGTTACAGGTAAAAAAAATTGGAAGGCTGTTTATATGAAGTTATATTTTATTATATTACATATCTTCTTCTACTACTTCTTCTTTTTTCTTTTTTATTACAGTGGATAAAATGACACACATGGTTGGATCATATCCTCCAAAAACTGAAATACAATCCTATACCACTCCTGCCGAAGATGCACCTGCAGGAGTTATGGCACGAGGTTCGTACAGTGTTAGTTCTTTATTCACTGACGATGATAAACACGAACATCTGAAATGGGAATGGTCTTTTGAAATTAAGAAAGATTGGAAGGAATAAATCTATCCTGTCATTCCACTGAAAAAAGAAAAAAGGGAAAAGATACGAGAGAATGTTTTTTTAACTTTACAATCATTCGCAGTTATAAATATAAGAATAATGGGTACCATCGTAGATATACTTTGATGAGTTACGAATGATCTTGAGTTGATGGTACTATAAGAATTAATTATACATACTAAGTAATGAGAAAAGAGTAACATATATTGGGTATTTATTTAGCATTCACTTCCCATTGTAATCAGCTATTCACAAATGTTTGATTCACGAAGTAGATATCATTGTGTTTGTGATGAATGGTCAGTAGAAAAATATATCGCATTGTAGATTAAAATGAATCTACAATTGTCAAACACAAAAGTATTTAAAAATGGAAAGTATTATACAATTTGTGAATGAATAATTTAAATAACATACAACAATGATCCGGTGATATTTATCTATTGAAAATAAAGGAAAGATAAAAACAATATTGTAAGGATTTTGGATAGCACGATCTTTAGGGCGTTAATGTGTACACATACTTAATATTTGGACTTAACAGTTGGATATAACATTACATAAAAATGGGACTTATACTTTTACTATTGTAAAGCTTTCCCAAATTTATTTCCGTAATTTATGAGGTATCTCTGGTTAAAATTACACTTGAGATGAAAAAAAAAGAAAAAGAAATCTGGCATTATATGAAGTATGATGAGACATACATACATACATACATACATAAACTCGATATTAGTGAACTTGGTTTATCAAAGAGATTATATAGCTCTGTGTCTGAGTGATCATTTGAAAGATAATTATCTGATTGAAGTATGTGTATATTTATGAAAATTATAAATCATGAGTGCATCATAGTTAAATATGATAAAATGTACTGGAACATATTGGAATTATAAATCTTCTGTTTGTGAGCTTCCATGGAAAACTATAATCTTTAATATAAGCCAGCTAAATTGGAGTTGCTTTTTGGTGATTCATTTATATGTCGTTTGTTTATACGAAAGAATACTAGAATGTTGACATCGCAAGGGAAAGCGCACATTACAGACATTAGTAATTGTAAAAATGACTATATCTAATGGATCATTCAGTACAGACTGTGCAGCATTTTAAATAATGTCTTTGTATATGCTAAGATTATCCGTAACCTATGTAACATAATTATCAACAATGTAGAATAGACCTTTTATACCTCAAAACAAAATCATAGTAGCCAATGCTGCAATAGATACAAAGTTATGGACGTTCAAAATCTAAAAGGCGTTTCCAGAAATAATGTGATTGAAAAGAAACCCCTGTTATATCGAATATCTTGTTAAATATTATTTCAATAATATATTTTCCATGTAAAAATGCCATCGTACGATCTATTTGCACACTATTATTTTCTGCCGTATTAAAATAATTTTCTAATTCGTACTATGTTACGATATGTCGCAAGATTTGAAAATTATGAGTGCAGAGTCGAGTAGCTTATTGTCTCTCATGTGTATTATGTGTATTTATTTGTATTACGCGGTGCAGTATATATTGTAATCGTTAATATAGTTGCTGTATATTAAATATACATTTTATACCTTTTTCTTCCAGACATCTTTTCAAACTAGCTCGACCTAACAGCTATCCTTAGACTCAAACCAAAATAATGTTTTTATAATTCTTTCCGCTAGTAATTTTCATTCATCCGCTTCATTTAATCGCTAAAAATATTATAAATGCGTACATCTCTTGTATTATTTTTTTTTTTTTATACTTTTAGTATTGTAAAACGTTAGAGACTGAAATTTGTTGTCGTCGCGAGAATAAAGTATATTTACTGAAGGATCATCGATCGAGAATACAAAATCTCATGAAATCTTTAATAATCTAAAAATTGGATAGCACCGACTATGTAGACGGACAGCTTGGTCACGGTTACGATCACGATCACGATCACGGTCACGGTCATGGTCTACTCCGCTCGAATCTCCTATAGTCACCTATTCTTAGACGAGCCCGTAAGCTGTTAGAATGTACGTCGGTTGCAAATATAGAATACAATTTAAAATGTTCCGTTTCTAACAGAATCGCCTCGTTGATGCGAGTGAAATTTACTGAAGCATCATTCTTCACAATTTTCAAAAGAATGTGCAACTCTAAAGAACATAATGAGCATATAAAACAAAAGAAACGATCTGTTCATTTTCGCTAACTGCTTTGATAAGATAATAATGGATTGATGCCAACATTAATTCAAACAAAATCTATATGAAAATTTATGAGACGCAAAATGATTTAAATTTCGTAGTACTTGAAAACAATCGATGAAAAATCGTTTTTGTTTCGACATCCCACTATCGATTACAATCTACCGTTCGATATTTTCCAATCATGGAGAAAGTCACTATATTGCAGGATCCGTCCTCCGATCTCAGTTTGAAAATCATACGTCTTGTGGCAATCCTAATTCAAGACGTGCCTTCATAAAAGTCTAATTAATTATTAGTATCATATATTTTAGTAAGAATATCTTTTTCCTATTTCATTGTATCAATTGATCACACATGACGATCGATATTCAAAAATTGTAAAATTTTCGACTCTTTTTTACAAAAAATAAATAAAAAATAAAAAATATGGAGAAAAGTGTAAAATCGAAAGAACAATTTCCTAGAAAGATTCAAGTGTGCCTTCAAAATTTGGCGTTTCGTAAATTGAAGAGATGTACTTGTGTACAAGGAAACGACAGCATAAACTCTAATGTAACGGTCGATACGCTAGATCGAATCAATTCGAATTCAAAATCGTTGAGCCTCGAAAGCAATTACAATGAATTTAGCGCGAGTAAGGAAAGAGTAGATCTTTTGCAGGATTTTAGACCTCAAGATTTACAAATTAATATTCGAAGTCGATATATAGAATCACGAGAAACAAACGAGGAATACGTTAATCAAAAAGAGAACGGTCACGTGACCGAAACTAGAATCGTAACGAATATAAAAATGCTTTCTAGAAACGGTCGATTATCTTTGCCGATTTTGCGAGATGAATCTGCAGAAGCTACATCTCTTGCAAAAATAAGTGATGATCAAAAAGACAGTGATGTCACGATTAATGGAATTAATCGGAGAATATCAAAGAAGAAAATATCGAAGGAGGGTTTCCTTTTAGATGATAACAATCGAGAAGGTAATATTTTCATAATCATAAATTTCCTAGAATTAAGAGAAAGGCAAGTTTTAAATCTTTCCTGAAGAAGTTCAGGAGAAGGAAAATGAGGAAACCAGAGACACGACGAAATTAATATCGCAAGATATCTCGAGGATCGAGGAAACGTTAAGGAGTAGTAATCCGATTATCACCGAGGAACAATCGACCGATACGCGCGATAATTTGAAAAGAGGTTAGACTACTTGACAAAGTTTGTAACTCAACTTTCTAACTTTGAATTTGTAGTATCAATTTACAGAATTTAAGTAACAAAGTTCTGTTGTCTTTATATGTCTTTTTTTGTTTTAAGCTTTTACCTCAAACGATACAATACAGTCATAACGAGATATCGTACTAAGTTTTATCACTTTTATGATTATTGCTTAATGAATTAAGTTTATGATCGTATTTTCTTTTTTATCTTTTTTGTCTTTCTTTTTTTTTTTTTTGTTTTTTTCTCTTTACCTTTTTTTATGCATTCGATGTTCCGATCGAAGAAAAAAAATTGAAGTATCCTTCAATAGGATCGACGTTAGAAGAGTTATGTAATCCTATATAATGCTAAATTATTAATATTGCTCGTTTAAAATAGGCTCGGACGTGAAACATTTTATGGAAGATAAAAGTACGATCGATGCATCGATTGAGCATATTTCTAAGCGAGCAGACTCTTTCGAAGGTTCCACGGTTGATTGGAAATTTTCCGAAGCGTGCCTTTCCTCTGAGAAAAAAGATTATGATATAATATCCACGCGGTTTATCGTTCAAATTGGACATAATGCGAAGAACAAAAAGATTCCCGCATATGGAAAGAGGCATTTCCATTTAAACCAGTATACACTTACATACCATATACATACGGAAGAAAAATGGTTAGAACGAAATGAAATTCTCGTTTCAATTCATTCTACTTATTTCTCAGAAAATGCTTAACTAAACACGACGAGTATGCGAGTTCATATCTGGCAACGTCTATCAACGAGAACATAAAAGACAATTCGTTTTATCAATTCGTCCGTCATCGTTGCGGCGAAAATATGGTTAACGATTTATCTTGCTCTCGATACAACAAACTTTACAAACGATTGGATATTCAGAAAAGTACAATACAATTTGTTTACACGTTTAATCTGTAATATGCAATCCTTAAAGAAAATTCATATAAAGAAGAAAATGAATCATATAATAATAGCATAATACATTGGACTTATTTTTCAGGAATACTGGATAATTCGCGATATGAGCACCGTTGTTACATTTGCAAAGCTCATAGAAACTCGAGCATTTCCTGTGAATACAAATGTAAAATGATTCCGAGTTCTCAAAGAGTAACCTTTCGTCTACCTAGTAAAGAGGAGACAATGTAGACGACACGAAATTCATCGTCTCCGACTTTAGAAATCTCCTTCGATATACATAATTCGTTCTATCATTTCAACGAATCTACCGTTGTTCTACCGTGATTAATGTAAATTGATAAAAATAAAGAAATCACAGGCAAGAGAAGCAAACGGAAACAATCAGGAATCACGTCGAATAATCGTGCGATCTACTGTGCAGTCAGAGAGAAAAAGGTAACTGTAAATTGTTTCAACTAAATCACGGACAAAATAAATTCGTGCAAATTTCGAAAACGCACTGTTTCCTACGAGACGAACAGACGGTGCTCATTAGACACGCTCGAAAACTTTTACGCTTCCCGAGCAAAATCAAATTAAACTATTAAGTTATTTAGTCTAATTAGCGATCATGTCTTAATTGGGCACGACATAGCATCTACATTCCTCATGTTCCTTCATATTTATAACTTTTATTATTTAGTAAGACTCTATTATCGAAAGGTGAATAATACTCGTTTATTATAAAAATATCACTTTGATTTTAGATCGACATTATCTGCGAACCGCAAATAGCCATGGAAATGATGGAATAACGTTTAATAACGATTTCTCTTGGAGAGAAGAAAGTCATCGGCGGTCGTCGACGTGTATCAAATTTCCTGGTTCATCGTTCATCGATCACGCGCGAGCTTATAATAACATTATCGTTGCAAGATCTTAAATCTTCTCGTAGAAAGAAAAAAGCAAGGGACTACGGGTCCACTAATAACGGGTAGGTGTAACGAGACAGCTCGCGTTCGTATCGATCCGTACTGGAGCTTTCGGTGGTGGAGGGAGCCCACCGTCAGGAGGAGAGAGCTCCGTGAAAATCGCGCGTGATCGTAGATCCAACGCAGCTTCATAGTTCACCAGCTTCAAACTGAGCAAGAGAGATAGACAAAGAAAGAGAGAGAGAGAGAGAGAGAGAGAGAGAGAGAGAGAGAGAGAGAAAGAGAGAGAGAGAGAGAAAGAGAAAGAGAGAGAGAGAAAGAAAGAAAGAGGATAGTCGGATGCATTCTCGACTGTACGTACGTGCGCCTCCTCCGCGCGCGCACCCTTGACTCTCTTTCTCTCTCTCTCTCTCTCTCAAGGCAAAACGAACGAACCCCTCGTCTCGAACCAAGCGAAGCCTCCCCCACCCTACGCGCTCACGGTGATAGCCGAGTATCCTGTCGTACGGGACCGACGCTCGTCGGCCGGTCGTCGGCCCTCAGTAGCGCGACGAGCGTCGAGTCGCGTGTGTCGTTGTCGTTGTGTTCTTTCTCTTTCTCACGAGTACCTTTTTCTCTCGTCGAGTACGAAACATACCAAGTCGGCTTTCTTTCTGTCTGTCTCTTTTTCTCTCCTTTTCTATTCTCTCTTCCTCTCACTATTTCACGCGCGTACATCCTCTCTTAAAATCTCAAGTACATACATCTCGAAAGAGCATACCACGAAAGAGTAAGAGAGAGAGGGAGAGAGAGAGAGAAAGAGAGAGAGAGAGAGAGAAGAGCGGTGAGTAGCGAAGAACAAAGTGATATCTCTAAAGAGCGAAAGAACTCTTTGACGTTACAAACGTCGTCCTTTTACCAACTTACGAGTTTAAAGGACGCACGACCATCTTTGCTTGCTTATGGTAGACGCTGGAGGTTCTTCTCCTCCTCTTCTTCCTTCTCTCTTTATTTCAAAGACGATTATAGACGAACGGTTAGGTAGTAGAGGAGAGACGACGCATCGAGAGTTCGTCGAACGTTTCGAGGTCAGGGTCGGTCTTTCGAAGAAGAGACAGACACGCGGTCGTGCATGCACGAAGATCGAAGGTCTTGGCACTTGGCGTTTAACCAAGACATCCATTGCACTCTATATTTAGCTGATATTGCCATAGCGAGCTTTGCAGGAGGGATGACGCGAGGGGTGTTTTATATTTCGAGGACGATCGGGGGTCGTGACTTCGGTGCAGCCGCTCTCAGTGACTCATTTCTCGCCTCCTTGAATCTTGGGGCCTGGGTGGGGCCGGCCGGCTGGCCAGCCGGCCGGTCGAAACGTTCTTCCAACTACCGGCGGAAGTTCCTGCCTTCCTGCCTTCCTCCTGCTTACCTCTCGTCGCTCTCTCTCTCGTCGCTCTCTCTCTCTCTCTCTCTCTCTCTCTCTCTCTCTCTCTCTCTCTCTCTCTTTCTCTCTCTCTCTCTCTCTCTTTTTTTGTCTACCTTCGTGCGTTGTCTATTCTTCTCACATATTGTCTATCATTAAGAAGATCTTAAGAATATTTGCGTTGTTATATATAAATATTTATCGCTATAATCTTCAAATATATTTATCAACAATATAAGCGTGTTTAGTACTTGTGTTTATTATTTAGAATGAATGTTGAATCTAATTTATGTAATATTGTTATTATTTAATTAGGTGCAACCTTGATTGGTAAAGTGTTTAAAATCGAAAACAAAAACTATAAGTAGCGTGTAGCTTGTTATTACTCGATAAGTCTTAACGGAGAAGAAAGAAAAATCGAAAGGGGACAATCATAATGCAAAGTGCTGCACGTTACTTGTCGCGGTAACCATAATAATTATGTTGACGAAGCATGTTATGGTCTTTTCTGAGAGCGACTCGTGTGGTTTTTTATCGCCATCGTGCATTATATATTCGGCCGTATCGTCGTGATTGCGAAAAAATCAAAGTTGTGTGCAAATCGAGAGAGAGAGAAAGAAAGAGCAGTCGTTCCACGAAAAAACAAAACCGCTATCGCTAACAATATTTACAAAATATTGCCAAGTTATCATTATTATGAACTTGTTATAAACCTGACACTGTTTGCTTTTTAGATTTTTGAGTACATACTTCCTAAATCAACAATTCAACATTGACACGAACACGCGTCTTCTTTAACATCCCAATGAACGCGTGTCGCGGTTTTCTCATTTCCGCTTTCCAACGGAATATAGTATCCTTGCTTGAAACGAGAGAACCGGCTTTTGACGTTGTAACTAATAGCTTGTAGTTTTAAGAAACGTTACATAATTAATGATACGTGTTCTTATAGCTCTTGAGAATATATATTGCGCTATTAAAAATTCTACCTTAACGAAAAGAATCTAAATTTTATTTCGTAAAATTTACGATTTAATCTATTGTAAGAGACCTTGTCGTCTAGTTTTCATATATCGTTATAGTTCGATGGAAACATCGAGGATCATATTAATAACTAAGATTTAAATTGAATCGAATAGAATGAACGGTCAGCGAATTGTCAATGTACGAATGTCTCGATGAATCTTGATCCTTCGATTCTGTTGGTTTAATTGAGAGAACGGAGCAGTACGCAAGTACGAATACGCATACGTTCAAAGATTAACAGTAAATGGTAAATCGGAGAAACTACCGTTCGATGATTCCTCTTTGCGCATCATTGCTCCAAACATACTTATGCGCGTATGTATTCACGTATAAACTCGTCTGTCGAAGGAGGAAATGTTATTTAACGCGGCCATAATGTAAGATGCGTACGTTAACCTACTCTTGATCAACGGTAACGCGTAGAACGGCACGTTGAAATCGGCTAATGACCGTTGAAGCTCAGGAGACCGCAATAATCATAATGACATTACAATTCAAATCGAATCAAATTAACTAAACGGCACCAAACGGTGCTTTTTTTTCTCTTTTTTTTTTTTTCTTTCACTCTTTAGATTCGTTGAAAAGTTCCTAACGATTTTCAATCTAACGTCTTAATATGAACGATTTGATATGAATATGAATTTGATATGATATTGAAGCTATTGATGAACGAATTGGAATATAGTCCTGTCGAATGGCTGGGATCAATACCTGCTGGCTGTACGCCCTGCTATGTACAAGGAAGGGATAGGGCGGGGATCCTTCCTTGTTTCCTTTTGCGCTAGAACGTTGAGCATTATTCGAGTTTCGTCCTATTGTTTCCCGTTTTTCTTTCTTTTTATTTTTTCTGGTCTTTTCTGTCTTTCTTTTTTTCTATTGCTTGTCGTCAATTGCGAATTCTTATGCGACCAAGTGTTGAGAGAGCTATGTGTTGGGGCTGCACGTAATGCAACACACAAGCGTATAAATTAGTCGTCAGATTCGATGTATTCTTTTCATTCTTTTTTTCGTTTATATGAAAATGTTCTTTTATATGGCAAATATACCAAATTGGCATACGTTATTTTCCCTTTTGCAGTATATATACTCCGTGTACTTTATTTTTTAAGAATTTACTGCCGGAAAGACTGGTTTTTGTATATAGGGTTTAACTACGTAGTCATAACAGACGAGAAACTAGAGTACACAGGTGGTCGCACAGGATACTTCATTCTGCGTCCAGTTCACTCACCTCGCTATAAAGTCCCGTTTTCGCTAAAACTTCTTTTAGAAACTTATATGCCTCTTTTAGAAAATTATATGCCTTGCTAATCCTTGCGTAATGGCTATTTTAGAATTCGGATAATTAAGGAATCGTTCGCTCAATTATTTCATTCTTAAATGAATTATATGAAACTGACTAAATACATAATTAACGAGAAATTTATACATATGCGATGTATCCTCGATACGCTCAATGTATAAACTCATTTTATGAATTTCTTATCTCTTTAATATCACGCAATTTCAAACGGGATGTGCGAACGCAAGATTTGCTCAAATGACCTTGATAAAGGAAGCATCTCATTGTGAGATACAACGCATTCGCTACCGAGATCGTCAATTTTTTTTCTTTTTTATATTCCATAAGTAAAATTGTATGCATTGATTTAAACAATTATTTTCTTGGAGAGTGACGAATTAATTAAATAAAATTTCTAGAAAGAGTTTTTATGAAATTAAATATGTACGACCTATGTATCAGTCATACAATTTATAATAATATTATATTTAGTGTTAATAATAGAATTTGTTCTTTTTAGAATTTATCTCGGATTGAAGACAGCTTGGAGGCATATCAATTTTGTGAAAGGGAGAATCTTAGAGGAAAACAAACAAACGAATCATTTTAACTTTTGCTTAGGCTAAAAACAATGCAGAGCAACGGTTCAGAAAATATGGGTCCCGAAAATGGTGTTGAAAAATCTGGATGGACGGTAGGCATTATACCTTATCTTCTTATACTCCACTTATTTTTATATTCAAGGATTCTCTCTTTGTCTCTCTCTTTCTCTCTCTCTCTCTATATATATATATATATATTCCTTCCCAATTTTTTTGTGATAAATCTTTCTTCGATAGACCAGTAAATCTTTAATTTTATTAATATATTTTTCAGGTTGGATTGATTAATGGAAAATACAAGTATCTTACGGCTGAAACTTTTGGTTTCAAAATCAATGCCAATGGATCAAGTTTGAAAAAGAAACAATTATGGACTCTCGAAGGAAGCGATCAACAAGTATTTCTTCGTTCTCATCTGGATCGGTATTTAGCCGTGGATCAGTTTGGAAATGTGACTTGCGAAACAGAAGATGTTAATGATCCTGGCTGTGCTTTTCAAATACAGATGGCCTCTGATGGTTAATTAATTTAATTTCTTGCAAGATAATCTATAATGTGTACTTCTTACCAAGGTCCTTTAAATATTTATTAATTGTAGGAAGCGGACGTTGGGCTCTAAAGAATATCCAGAGAGGTTATTTTCTAGGGTCTAGTCAAGATGAGTTGAAATGTACAGCTAAAGCTCCTGGTGAGCCAGAATACTGGCTTGTACACCTTGCTGCCAGACCACAGGTATGGCTTTTTTTTTCTTTTTTTTCTTTTTTTTTGAAAATACAAACATTTTTCTTTATTTTCCCCTTTCATATTTTACTATAGGTAAATCTTAGATCGGCTGGAAGAAAACGTTTTGCTCATTTAAGTGCAGCGCAAGATGAAATTCATGTCGATGCACCAGTACCATGGGGCGAAGATACTTTATTTACTTTGGAATTTCGTCCTGCAGCTATGGCAGATCATGATGATGATCATGGAGATCATGTCAAATCAGAAGGTGGACATTATGCCCTTCATACTTGCAATAATAAATATCTTGCACGAGATGGTAAATTGTTAGATAGTTGCACTAGAGATTGTCTCTTTGCGGCAGAATTTCATGCAGGACTACTTGCTCTCAGGTTTGTACAATAAATTTAGAAATATTTTTCCATGTGGATCTAGTGATATTTTAATCCAATATTAATAACTATAGAGATATCAATGGTGCATACTTGGCACCAATTGGAAGCAAGGCTGTATTAAAATCTAGATCTACAACTGTAACGCGCGACGAACTCTTTTCTTTGGAAGAGTCTCTTCCACAGGCTTCCTTTGTTGCTGCTCTGAATCAGCGATATGTTTCAGTAAAGCAAGGTACATTCGTTTTAATTGTTCAAGAGCAACAACACTTAGATATATTTACTATATATCTAATATTATCTATCTCTGAATATTTCAGGAGTCGATGTAACTGCAAATCAAGATGAGATTTCTGGTCATGAAACATTCCAACTAGAATTTGATCGTGTCACAAAACGATGGTACGTACGTACCATGCAGGATCGTTATTGGAGTTTGGAAGCCGGTGGTGGCATTCAAGCTGCTGATCACAAAAAGTCTTCAAATGCTCTTTTTGATCTTGTTTGGCAAGAGGATGGCACAGTAGCATTGCGTGCTAACAATGGCAAATTCGTAGCTACCAAACGTTCTGGCCATCTTTATGCAAATGCTGAACTTACAAATGGAAGTGATTCAGATGCTTGTAAATATTATTTCTATTTGATAAATAGACCAGTTTTAGTACTTCGTTGTGAGCAAGGCTTTGTGGGTCCTAAAAGTACAACTAGCCCCAAGCTTGAGTGCAATAAAGCCAGTTATGAGACAATTCGGGTCGAACGATGTGAACGTGATATTGTTAGATTTAAAGGTAAGAGTATTTTGATTTTATCTTTATTGTATTTAAAATAATTATAATTCGTTCTTGAGTTAGTTTATTTGTATTCGAATATTTTGTTTCCTAAAATTCGATGATTTAGTATAACATATTTCTTTCTTTCTTTCTTTTTTTTTTTTATGCAGGACAAAATGGAAAATATTGGCATGCAGATAGTGAGGGAGTAACTGTGGATTCTGATGTACCATCTGATGGCTTTTATTTGGAAATGCGCGAACCATCTCGTCTTTGCATTAAATCTACTGATGGTCGATATCTTACTGCAGGTAAAAACGGTGTTTTACGTTTAGGAGAAACAGATTATGATTCTGCCACAAAATGGGAATTTTAATGTGGCTGGTTTTGGAGAAACATAATCCATCAGGTGTGATTATATCTCATCGTATTTTTTACATGGGAACGTAAGAACAAAAACTTTGTTCCTACTATGTACTTAACCAAGAACAGTTTTGTAAACCTCACCGTAAAACGAATTTACGACATATCGATGGTAAACTATCTTCATGGGGCTACAAAAAAAGATATCGTAAATTTGCATAAATCAAAGACTGACAGCTATACTAACTGTGAATTATTATGAGCCAATCATTATTATGAGCTTTTTTATACGCAATGCTTCATTTTATATAAACTATACAATCAATTTATCGCGTAATAAGCTTCACTAAAGTAAATAATTTCAATTGCGTCAACGCACATTGACAATACATATTTGATATTTGATAAAGTCGTGTATTAAAAGTGAGGATGTTCTTTGTGGGTCATTTATAAGATATCTTTAATACAGCTTTCCATTTTTAATAGCATATATGCATATAGATTATCCATAATTTAAATTAAGGGAAGTATAACAGTATGAACGTTCATAAATTGGTCATAGGCCAGTCTTTGTTCCATTACTGTTCTCTACCAAAAGCATATATATAAGAATACTAAATTATATCCCTTTCTTAGTAAGCTAACATAACAATTTCAAACTGAAGATATTAAATATTTGTTTGTGACGCTAAAATGTGATGCATTTTATATAATACATTTTATATTAATAATACTTATTATTTTTAAGAAACTGTCAGTTCTCACAAAAAATAGACCAATAATTTCTTTTTCTTCGCATATCTTTAAACCCAAACTAAGGATTAATCTATTTAGTATTGTATAAGTTCAAAATTATTATTGAAATTGACCATAAGTAATTCAATATTTATATAAAAATTTATGGCGTTTCATCTTATAATATGAGAATTATTCCTCCAAGTGCTAAAGATTATAAATCTATAATTTTATCTAACAATTTATTACTTGCACATAAATTTGTGTAGCTTTCATAAAAAAGATACTACTTTTTGAATCCCTTATTAAAGTTAACAAGTATAATATCTATATCTTATAGCAATACCATGAAATCAAATTTGATGAATACACTTGAGGAAAAAATGATAATATACTAAAATGTAATACGTAGGACTTACTTATTGTCATTGGTCATCAATTTAAACCTATTAAGAACAAATATTGTATAAGCATGTATTTTTAATTGTCTATGCATTGCGCAATATAAAAATTGTGTCTATTTTTGCTATTCATTGTGTAAAATTGTTACAAATGTGCAGATTTGTTTCTTTTTAATTTTAATTTTTTTTCTTTTTTTAAATACTGTAAACAACTATCGATACTTTAAACTAAAATCCCATAAACAATTAATAATTTTATTAAGGATTATTAACAAGAATGTAATAAACAATTTTATATTGACTGAAAATATTTTTTCTATAAAAGAAAGCCCTATTATCACTTTTCCCTTGATTTGTTAGAAAACTCATTAGATGGGAGAAATATTTAATATATACAATAAATGAATATATTATATATTTTAACTCTTTGTAAATTGTCTATCTCGTAAGCGTTAATATGGTTTTGAAGTATGTGACGAAGGAATGATACATGTTTAAAAATTACAACATGAAAACTATAAACTTCATTTTACATTACAAAGCTTGTTCTTACTTATAAGGAAACATATTCTTTAAGTTAAAAAGTATTCAAACAACTACACTTATACCAAAAGTATTAATAATAATAATAATAATAATGGCAAATGAAGTATATTCAATAAGAAAAATTTAGAAAAATATTTCATCATGTACGATGATATTTTATTTTACTCGTTTTGATATTTTATTTTACTTTGTAATTTTTTTATCATACGTTCTTCCGTTAATATCATATAATTATGAAATATAGTCTTTAGGCAAGGATATAAAAGAGGTAGAAATTTTAGTTGTGAAAAATTAAAGTGCATATAATCATATGCTATACCGACTTTGCTTAGATCAAGATTGGTATTTTCAGGAATGATAGGTAACTTCGTATGCCTTTGACTAAAATGTGTTAATAAAGTAAAATGTGATTTCATTCTCTCGCCCATTTGGATGGCTTCGGACATGGTCGAATGTTTTTTAAATATTGCTTCGTTTGATAATTCATCCTGCAGAGTTGCTTCATGAATAAGTAAATCACAATTCATTCCTAGTTGTATCAAGCTATTACAAGGCATGGTATCACCACTAGAACGTATAATGAATAAACGTTATAAACATGTTATTAATATTGAAACCAAATATGTTTTAAAATGTTCTTATTACCTGTAGACAACCTTTTTATTATTTTTAAAGATTAAACTAATTCCATAAGACAAATTGCAATGCCTTACTATGGTAGTATTAATTTCCTTAACATTCAATTTATTAGATAGGTCCTTTTTAAGGGATGATATTTCTATTGTATTAGGTTTAAAGTCCAACAAATCATGATTTGATATTAACGTAATATAATCCTTAATGGGTTTATAATATTCGTAACAATAATTTAGCCATGATCCAAGAGTGTCCGGTATTAATAAAAAAGTGGGATCTTTTGTGACCTTGGATTTTGCTAATAATACTCCTATCAAACCTAAATGATGATCCGCATGCATATGAGAAATATAGACAGCCTAAAAAAAATTTTCAAATTCAATGTCATATGAGCAATTAAAAAGATCTAATTAGATGAGTCTTGTTAAAAAAATAATTGATCATTTTGACTATTAATAAAAACTAAGAAAAATAAAGTAAATAGATGTACTTAATGTACCTTAATCGAAGCCAGGATATCATTTAATTTAGTTGTACCATAAACACGTCCCATTTGAGACAATGTTCCTTCGCTACAATCTAATAATATACTAGTATCTTCATCTGTTCTCACAAGAATAGCACTTGTATTTCTAACTTTACTAGGTATACTAGATCCAGTACCTAACATGACAAATTTAGGATATTCTTCCACAGCAAGCATTGTTTTTGTTTGTTTATCAATTTTAGAATGAAGTTCCGCCAGGATTTTAGGAAAATCATTTATTTCGTTTAACTCATTGATGTAAGCTTCTTGATCAATTGAAATCTTACTGTTGCTATCGAATTTCCGCGTAGGTCTCAATTCAATAGTTTGCAATGATTTAGCATAATATATTCCTGGAGTATTTTCTTTTTCCTATGAACATATTGGAAAAATAATTTAATTACCGTTGTTTGTAGGAGTGATCGTTCATTGAAACATTATCGTTTTTAAACTCTTACTTACTGTATTTGCATTCTGGCATTCTACATTTAATTTATTTTGAAAACAATTCGACTGCAAAGAAGGAAATATTTTAGGATGCAATACATTCAACATATATTGTTGTTTGAATACTGCCTGGCTACCCAAGCAAGTGTTGTTTTCATTTATTATTAAATGATAAGTATTTGAATCGAACTTATTCATCCATTCTTTATATTTTGTATTATCAATTATCTTCTGTGGTGTAAAATGTATTATACAATATGGCTTATCATCATTAGAGGCTTGTTCTTGATACTTCTCAAAAGCAGTTTGATTTACAAATGATTCTACATATTCTTCACTTGGACACTCGACAACTATAACCAAAATGGTTATTTAACAATAATGGTATATTAAATTATTTTAAATTATATTAAATATATAATAAGATATTTTAAATATAAATAAAATAAAAAGTTATGATTACCTAAAAATACTGGGCCCTTTTGCTTTGGAAGACATACTTCCTCGTGTTTTACAACAGTCCCATCATCTAAAGTGACATCTTTACCATTTTTAAGTAATCCTAATATAGGACCAGGTTTTAAGCCTTTAGCAAGACATTTGTCTAAACATAAAGAACCTAGCTTGTCGTTTAACTTACAAATATAGGATAGTACAGGTACAATATCTTTTTCTGATGATCTGATTCTTTTCTCATTTCTACTTTCATTATTTTTTCTCTTTTTATTAATATGAGAAGTATCTGTGTCATCTGTGTCATTATCCGTTATCGTTTCAGATATATGTTCATATTTATTGTCTATATTTGGATATATCAGAACGCATGAAACGGTCATCAAATTATCATTATACTCTTTAATTGCATCATTCTTAGTAAGTTCATCAACGGTAACCGTTAAATTTTTCACAATGTTAGATTCCTTCAAAATTTGTAACATTCGTTTAGTTCCTACAGGAGAAGTAACTTTGAAAAAATTATGACATAAAGATTTAGTTTCTTCATTCAAATGTGCTATTGTTAATACTACTCCTGGCAATCCACCCATGTTTTTCCAGATCGCTGATGTAATAAATATATGTTCTATTTTGCTCAATTTAATTTTGTATTCTGCAAATAATCTTTGTACCCCTTCTCCGCAATTAAACAAATATCTCTTATGATCTGTAATTAAAATTAAAGAGGTGCATCCTGGTCCAGATCCAGCGCCTAAAACCTGCAAAGATTGTACAATAATGTTTGTCAAAATAAAATAAAATAAAACAATAATTACAATTATGAACAAAATTAATAATGATCAATGGACCTGCAAGCGCACATTCGCTGAAGAATTAATGGATGACATGCCGCGATTAATTGTATTAATTTTTTTCTTGTTACGTCCTTGTATATTATAAGAACGTGAAAGATATTTGGTTATAACATCTTTCGTTATTTTTTTTAGAAATATCATTGATTTATTTATTATTTATTCCAAACGCTTTATGCTGTTTTAATGTATCTAATCTGATGTAACCTAAGATTTCAATTCAACAATGCTCCCACGAATTCAACAATGCTTCCATGAATTCAACAATGCTCCATCTATAATATTTCCATGAAATTTCAAGGCAATCTTAAGCTAAATTCTCACATACGCGTATCGGTTTCTAAGTTATATCCATAAATACAGATATATAACATAAAGAGAAAAGTGATCAATAATAAACAATTGTATAGAAATGTTAGTTCTATAAAGATATTAATTCTAAAATAGTAAATTAAATATTGTTACTAATTAGCTTTTCCTTCGTTTTCTTTCTGCTATATATATATATATATATCTAAACAGTTTTAAGCCGTCATTTTTAAGGCAGATCGATAAGGTAGGAATTAACAATCCGCCATATTATTTTTCGAACGTGACGATACCTTATGAGAGAAAGGTATAAATATTAAAAACAAACTTCATAATCATAACCTTTTGAAGAAATTGTGCGAAAATGATTTTTTTTATTTATTGAAATCTACTATATATCGTTAACATTATATAAATATAGCATATCTTAATTAAATGTTACGATAGGGGTGGTATTGAAATGATACCTGGTTGAATATATGAAATCGACATTGATACAACGGCAAACATTATCGCCGTACCCTTAGCATCTTGTTGCAAACGATTTAATTCTACTGGTTGGAAAAATGGACATTCTTTTTGTCTAAAATAAATGATAATGATGTGCCTGTTACACATAGTAATACGTATATAATTAATTTTGAAATAAATAATACCTTATGACAACCAGTCGATAAAGTGGTTCGCCTGGATTGGCTTTTCTATAATGCTGAGTATTTGAATAAACATTATATGATATTTTCAATTCGCTTCTTTTTCTTCTAACTATTTTTTCTGATGCATTTTTTATTATCCTAAGCTTGTTATAAATTTCTGTAAAACTCGATACATTATTTGAACCAATGAGAGGAGGAATATGTTCCTTTACTATCTCTATTTCTGTGCTTTCAGTGTTCTCGTTATTAGTACCATCTTCGTCATCTATAGTAATTGTTTTTTCGTCATACCATTTTTTTTTTAACTCTTTCCATGAAGTGACATTTGGTAAAACTTTGAATGATGATTGATACTCATTTTTTTCACTTCTAACATTTCCCAGAGATGCATTGATCGATCTAGGCGAAAATGACAAATCGATGTAAAAATTTAAATTACGATGTAAAATATATTGAATATGTTTCTAATTGGTTATATTTTAAAATAAAAAGTACCTATTTTGTTGTATAGTATTCCTAAAAGGTCTGAAGTGGCCTGAATTTCCAAACATGAAGGCATGAGAATTATTATGATGTAGGCTCTCTTGAATAATCGGACCTCTATTATGCCAGTATGCTTGATGGTAAAATGGAATTCTATTATTGGGTAACTGGAAAAATTTAAATCTTGAATATCGTGTTAACTGTTTAAGTACAAAAATGCACGTAAAACAACATCGTAGATGTTTATATGCATGCTTTAATTATGTAGAGGAATAAAAGAGTTCCTTTGTATAATTTTATTACTAGCCTGTGAACTGGTACTAGAGCTATGTGGTTTTTCTTGTAAATTTTGTTTAGAATATTTCGAGCGCATTTTATTGTCAATTTCTGATAAACTTCTTAATCTTTTTGTTTCATATTGATAAATATCTTTATGAAGCTTTATTGTATGAGGTATATAGTTACGTGAAATCTGTTGTGTAATAATTGATTCAGAAGCAATATTTGGTAGTAACTCAAGCATCTCTATTCTTGTCAGAGTAGGGACAACTATCTGAATTTCATCATCAGAAAGTTCAACCACCTATTCAAAATAAAATTAACATGATTTTCAATAAGAATATGTCTTAGTTATTTGAAAATAATTCATATGACATCTCTGCTTTTAGAACGAATTTTCTATATATATCATACCTCTAATTTCGATTTCTTATTTTCTAAATCATTTTTACAAGAGAGTAGTTCTTTCCTCTTAAGAGAATTATTTTTATCAACATTTGCACATTCAGATTTATTATTAATTGCCAACGATATTTCACTTCTTTTTGGGAGTAATTTTACATTACGTTGTATACGTGAATCTAGCCATTTTGGTACAGTAGTACTATTCTTTGTTGAACAAGTAGTTGGTTCTTTGATTTTGTTAGGTAAGGCCTCCTCGAAAATAATCTCAATGTTTGAATTGCAATCGTTTTTGCTATTACCATCTTTGTTTATTGTTTTTTTGTGCGTTGAATCTAATTTCGATTGATTATCACTTAAATTTACAGAATAAGAAATTGTAGTATTATTTTTGAATTTTGTATTATAATATTCGGGAATAAGGGATATAGAATTATTTGTACATTCTATTGTACTTATAATGTTTTCGATAATGTTTTGTATATCTTTTTCGAACGTATTACTTAAAATTTTTGTAGATTCATCAATCTGTATGTTACTATTCATTTTTAGCATATTTAATTCTCCTTTGGCATTATCAAATACTTTAAGTTGATTGCTTGTATCATGATCCACTCTTTGCTCGGAGCCTTCAATACGCAAACCTCTCTTAGGTTTCATAATAGCTTTTTTTTTTAAAGAAACGGATTTATCAGATATTACATCTTTTATTGAATCCTCGTAATAAAAACGTTGTATGTGGTAACCATAGCGAGTTAATTGACTATAAACTCTGTACTCTTCTAAAGTACATTCCGTATCGTCTATTAAAATTTCATACGCTTGTTGAATAGATAATGCTACACCATTCCATATAAGCTCCAAACAGTTCTGAAATATAATCAATTTCATATTTCTTTATTTCTATTTATTTTTTATATAGAAATGATCAATTAATTTGCATTAGCTGATTAATATACCATTTCTAGAAGAAGTAATGCCTCTTCAGGAAACAAAAGTAATGTTTTATTTATTTCAATACCAAAATTACCCCAATCCTGACCAGATTTTTTAATAACTTGTGCCTTTCTTCTATCAGATAACCATTCTGCAACTGCTAATTGAGAAATACGTTCTACTCTTTCGATATTCAACAAATCTCTACAATTCTTAATACCCTTCTCAATTTGAATATTTTCTAACCAAGAGTTATTAGGTTCAAATTGTTTTTGTCCAAATTTGGGTAATACTTTTTTGGATTCTTCCCATTCTTTCCAAGTTTGATATTTAATACCTTTATTTTGAATAAGTTGCTCTGCCCTAAATAAAATATTTTAAAATATAAACATTAATCGATTTTAAAAATATTAGCCAAAGAAAAGTATTCAAAAAATATAATAAATATAAAATTGTTAATGTTAAGATAATATAAGGTTTCTTTATAAATAATTCAGTTTTTACATCAGAATACGTACGTCAACATATTTCTGGACAACTTTTCCTCTTTTTTATTCATTTTGACACGGATCAATTATACATATGATTAACACGTAATAATGTTCAAAGTGACATTATAAACCTATTCAAAAATAAAATAAATAACATAGGAGAAAATAATTTGAAACAACTTTTTAAATTATTTTGCTATTTGATATAATATGTAATATAATTAATTAGAAAAATAATATATATAAATATAATTCAACACATTTGTTTATTATCTAAATTTAAATTTTAATTATTTAATTCGATTACGAGAACATGGCGCTCTTTAAATTTTTACAGATATAAAACATAGATTATATAACCATATGAGTAGACATTTTGGTAACGAATTGCATCACCATCTAGCGGCAGAATATTTGAACTAATTGATACTTTGAGATAACGTATTACTTGAAAAAGTAAATTTGATTACATGGACAGTAAATTCCTGCAATGAGACTTTAATGGATGTAGGTGTATATATATAATAATCTATTTGGCAGATACGCGAGATATGTGACACTTTAAACGTGTTTTTCAAAATATAATATACTTCATTTGATGCTTTTTGATAGGGCGCTGGGGATGGTTGGGGGAAAAGAAAATAAAAAAGATATTTTGTCATTGAGATTCGCCATAATTTCGTGTAAATGAGTATTGCCTTAAAACTAAGTATGCACGTGCCTATCTCACTTGTAAACAAATGGCTTACAGAACGTAGAAATGATACTGATTTTTAAAGGAAATTAACGAAATTTATATTAAATGGAAATATGAAATAGGATGAATATATTTATATTCAAAAAATAGTGCAATGTGTTTATTTGTCAATTCTCTTTTTAATCGTCATATCGTTAATTAAGTGAAATAATCAATTATATTCGTAGGACATATATCAGTTGTCCTATTTTTTATTTTTCGTTTCATATTGATCGCAAGTTTAAAAATTTTAAAAATATATTTCTTTGACTTTTAATCGAATCATTGGAATTTGAATTGCAATATATATTTTGAATGAAAATTACATGGACTAATAGTAAGGATAGTAACAATTTTAATTGTGTGTGGATTTAAAAAAATACATATTTTTATTTATTCAATCAAATTTCTAGAATAATCAATATGGTATCATTTCCACCTATTAATTTAATAGATTCTGTAATAGATGAAGTGGCATTGGAAGGTTTGGATGGTATTACTTTAGAAGGTAAATCAATATTTCTTCGACATTGTTCTTATACATTTTTCATTTACACGCGCAAGTACGCACGCACACACACACACACATGAAATAATAATTATTCCTTGTTTCAGCTTTATGGTTACGTTTGGCACATAGATTTAACGATCCTTTACCATTTTCACAAGCATTTATGATCCAAATATGGTCTATATGTGTGAAAGTTAAAGAATTTACATTTTACAAATTAGAAGTGCCAAGAAAAACACTTGTTATATTTGATCGTTATGAGTTTGTAGATCCAGATCTTGGTATTATACTTGAGCCAGTAAGGAAATATAAACACAATCTTCATTAATTTTCTTTATTTTGATATCTAAGTTAATTATTTCTTTAGGATGATGTTCCAGAAGATATTTATCCTCATTGTCCCATATACGATCAAGCTGCTGGAGTTAAGGGTTCTTGTTCTACATATTATACTCGCAAAGTTATTATTGCCGATATCAGAAATTATACTTTAGAGCAGGCGATAACAGAATATGGTCAAAGATTGGTCATTGTTGCATCTCAATATGCAAGAGAGCATGCATTAATGGGCGATAACATATGTCCTACATTAGAATTAAGTATCATGCATTATTGTTTTCTTGAAAGAGTTGGAAGATCGCGTTATCATGGAGAGGTGACACAGGGAAAACTTAGTCTTAGCTTACTGAAAGAAGATCCTAGAACCTTGTTTTATCATAGGAAATTCTTACTTCGTCACAAATTGATAACAAAACAGATGCATCATCAAAAAAGTTCAGGCCACAGTTGTAGCGGTAGCTTAATACATCTACCACGATTCTTTGTAGAAAGAAAACCAAAAATCATTTTCTTGGCTGAACAAGTAATTGAAATACTTAAGATGAAAGAGAATTATATCGCTGAATATGAAGAAATAAAGAAGAAATTGCAAATTGAAAATTCTATACAAAAATTAGTTAAAACATCTTTTTTTCAAAAAGTAGTGAAAACAGATCTGGTTAGTGAAACTTATCAGAAAATTTCATTAAATATTTCGTTATTAATATATATATATATATTCATTTTTATATAATAATTTTTTTTAAAAGTGAATGTCATCCTTTTTAATTGAGCTTTATTACTAATTAATAGAAGGTACCATATAGAACTTTATATCCAAATGCAGAACCTAAAGAATGGCAACGGAAAAATGATCCGTCAAAGGAAAAAATGATAAGGGTAATACAACTGGTGACTCCTGACATTGATATTGCTGAACTATGGAACAAAGATGAAATACACGAAGATGAAGAACAATTTGGTAAAAATAGGATTTTAAAAGTATTTTCAAATATATTATAAATCTCTTTTTATTGATATTTTCAATAATTATTATCATTTTATTTCAGAGTTAGATATTTCTGATCATAAATACAATGTTCCTTATCTTAAGCAAGCTAATAATGTAATCGAAGAAAGCAATAGTGATGGTGTTTCTCAAGGAAACTTAACTAAAAATATGGGTTTAACAAAATTACAATGTAGAACTATATTACGTAATTTAGTGAAAGTAAATATTGTAGCGACATACATGAATGATGCTGGTAGGCAAAGAGTAACGAAATATGTATCTAAAAAGTTTGAGAAAAGTAGCATGATGAGTAAGCAATTTCAGAAAGAAATATATAAAATTAAAGAACTTACAAAACAGATCTCAAATAAGAACGATAAGACTATACCAAAACAAGAGAAAAAAGAAAGTAATGAACTTTATACGCATCAAGTTAAAACCATAGAGAAAGCAAATTATCCCGCAGTTATTGATAATAATATAATTGAACATTCTCATAGTGAAGAGCAAAAACGTTGTATTAACATTGATGAATTAAGGAAAGTATTTCATATTGTCAGTAAAATATTTTGGAAATATCGTATAACAAAATCTCAAACTAGATACAAATGTACATTCATGAATATGTCGGAAAAAATTGCGAATTTAAAATGTTTAAAGGAGCAAAGACATAGAGAAAAGGCAATAATACAAGGTGACGAAAAAAGGAAAACAGATGAAACTAAAGATGGCTTTGAACATTCCACAGCCATATCTAAAATTTCAGATAATCTTAAAGCTGTATCGATATATAAGAGTATACAAACAAATTTGGTCGCGCAAAATCCGACGCGAACTGGAAAACCAGTTAATGAAATATTTGGTTTCATGGAGGACGTTGAAAATAGTGAGAAAAAGGGTATATCTAATATTACTTATAGATTACTAAGGCGAGCAAATATGATTATTGAGTCTGTTAAAGAGCATCAAGTTATCGATGATATGACTAAGCTAATGAAAGTAAGACACAACGGTTAATCATTATGTATAATTTTATATAGATTAATTTTACGTCAAATCGACATGATGATCAAAAGTTAAAATTTACATTAATTTTTTCAGATGATAAATGGTGAAGAAGATAAGGAAGGTTATGATGTGAAGATAGACAAAAAATCTTTGATCAGATTATTGCAGAAATTGGCCAAAGATAATTTGGTAAAAAATATAAAATTAACACTTAGCGCCAATGGTAGAGAAAAACATTTGACTTTTATATGCGATCCCAATATTGATACAGATCACACGGTAATAAAGTCGGCTGTAGAGCAAGCAAAGGTTAAATTTTGTTTATTGGGATCGCAAAAAAATAAAGGGAATCCCAAAAATAATATAGATAAGACACGTTTACATAATTTGGACAATACAAACAAAACTGATAAAAGGCCTAAAAGACTATCAGCAATACCAACTACTTCCAAATATGATCCAGTACGTAGTATAACATTTTTTTAAGTTTACTTTAAAAAATTATTATTATGAAGACATGTAAATGCTTAATTTTTTACTTTTAGAAAGCAGCTCGAAGACTTGGGTACAGTCCTAAATTTGTTCGTATGCAAGCACTTCATGTTCTTTTATATTATTTAGTTTATGAACATCCTGGAGAGGAAACACTTTCCAAAAATGAACAAATACAACTGTTGCGGGCTAATGATTTTAGTATTACCGACAGCTTGGCTCAAGAAATGAGTAAAATTTATACCACAGAAGTAGGATGGAAGATGTTTATGCCACCTTTACCAAAACATAATGGTAAGAAAAGTGCAATATGTGTGGTACATTTGAGTAAGATTTGTGAATATAATCACAATCCTTTTGTTATATTAGGTTGGCCAAAAGGTTGGACTTTAATGTGCGATGTTCTGTTACGCATTCCTCTATCGATTTTTTTGAAAGTCCACAGTGTCCCATTTATTATATCAGGCTTGGAATATTATACAAATCATCCTATTAGAAAACATTATTTAGTGAAAGATCTTCCAATTAATATTCGTAATACTTTATTACATGCACGAAAGTATATATTTGATATTCATGAAACCATGACTAGATTATGTTATATTGGACTGATACAATTTGGACCGCAGAAATTAAAAGAAAAAGATCAAGTATTTCTTTATGTAAATCGTCGAAGCGAATTGATGGATACAACTTCATCCGCACCTGGATATCACAAAATTGAAGAAAAAACATACCCCGTAACTAAATATAATTTCAATGAAATGTATATAGTTGAAAAATATTGGTACGATATGTGGAATATATGCGTTAATACTCCTTTAGGGGGTAGACTTGTGGTTCAGGGTAAAGATATATTATTGGAGGATTTAAGTAAAAAGAGCGATATGATACAAACAATAGTACCTCGTTCTGCCGAAGAAGCTATACAATTAGATACTGGTAAAGTACCTGGGGATCATAAAGGTGCAGCTGGTATCGACTCCGCATTTTTCGCACACTTGAAACGTAATTGGAATTGGAATAGTAATTTTATGACGCGTCATCAACCAACGAAAAATCAAGAAAATAAAAATATGACGTGTAAGAGAGATGCTTATTTATCGACGATAAAAGCGGCGCCCGTCAAATTCACCGA